GAATCAATTTTTGCTAATTCATCATAGTTGTATTACTGTATTACAAAAGATATTTTCAAAAAGCTAACATCGAGTTTCTAGATGAGTTACGAGTTATCACTTTGTCTTATCGTGATCAAGTAAGGATTCTTATCTTCATGAAAAAACAAAGAGCTATGAAACTTTCAAATTAAACTCTCAGTGTCATCAAAAATCTAGGTATAAAAACTTAGTGGTCAAAACAGTATTATTTAGACTATCTATCTGGATGTCATAAAATACATGTCAATTCCTGACATTCCATTCCTCCTCTTTTCCTCTTTTCTTCCAAAACCTCCTCTTTTTTCTCTTTTTTTCTGAAAAATTAAAGTTAAAAGAAAAATACTTAATATTGATGCGTTTGTCACCATCATTCGCTTCATGCATCGTTATTGACATCAATTCGCTTCTTATTGCTCTTTTCTGTCGCGACATGATGATAGGTCTATGAGTACTATAAATGTAACTACAGTAAAACCTCCTATAATGCACACGTCCGTGTCCTGGTCCTGGACATCTCATGGTTTGACAAAGCAATTTTTGGGGAAATGAAGTTCTGTATAGTGAACACTAATTATAGCTTAAAAGAAAATATCAGATGACTATAAAAGATCATACAACGTGATGACTCTTCTGTATTTATAAGACAGTGAAATGACAAAAAGGAAAGATAATGTTTAGTGGTGGGAAAAGACGCCCGTTGTGTTGAATAGGCGACACAAATATGTATATATAATGACATTGTAACATTTGCGTCACTTTCACCTATATTTATTAAATGTCTGACTATAAAACAAAAATTCAATCAATCATGATTAAATAAATTGGATAGTAACGGAAATTCAGTAAAAACGTGACTGAAGCAAAGCTCATCGGAAACAACATTTATTTATACAGTATGTCATACTAGTGATCTGGACTGTTCTAGCATAGGCTGGAATGCTGTTGAACAGCACATGCAAAATGAAAAACTCAAAAATAATTTAAATGCTCTGAAGAATAATTCACAACTTACCTTTTCAATATCGGCAACATCTTCCACGTCGTCTACACATACTATTCAACTAGTTGATTCTAATAAACCTTTGTTATTCGATAATCAGGTATCACAAACTGAAATTTTATGGGCGTTGAAGTCTGTTCACAATGCATCTTTCTAAGTAGACATTAAATAGAACAGATAGGTTGTCGACTGCATGCCATTTTTGCTCCAGTGCGAATATTTCTTGTAGGGTCAAAAGCTGAAAAAAGATCCTCTTTTTCTTGAAACTAATTATCCTTTTTTCCTCTTTTTTTCTAAAATGCTTGGTGGGATGCCAGATCAATTCATTTTATAGATAATCAGTGAGCACTATCGTACCATAAAATGACTTGCCAAACTGGAAATTTTAGCTTTGATTGGACTCAAGAAGTTATTGAAATGGTAATATATTCGTAATACAGACCTTGATTACGCGTAAAATATTAATATTATAAGTGTATTGTTGGCATATGATGCGTTCGGGGAATATCCCCGGAAACTCGATTAAGTACTAGGAAAACAAATCTAGCAGATATAACAGATATATAGATATACAACATGTACCGCATATAAGGGGTTTAGGAGGTCTAGGGGATATAGGATATATAGGAATTATAGGAGATATAGGAGTTATAAGAGAATTTTTTTTTGTCATCTCGTAATTTTATTTAATTATAACTCAACTAAAATAAAATTTTCTTTCAGAGATATTACTGATATTAATATTTATTTGTTGAATCTTGCTCGTTGCTTATCAATATTTATTTTTTGAGCATTGCTCGTTGCTTATCAATCTCCTATAACTTCTATATCTCCTATAACTTTTATATCTCCTATATCTTCTATATCTCCTATATCTCCTATATCTTCTATATCTCCTATAACTTCTATAACTTCTATATCTCCTATATCCCCTAGGCCTCCTAGACTCCCTATATGCTGTATATGCTGTATATCTCTATATCTGTTATATCTGCTAGGTTTGGTTCCCTAGCACTTAATCGAGTTTCCGGGGATATTCTTGGAACGCATCTAATCATTGTTGGATTGATACGGAGTTTTGTTTTAAATAGAATGCTGTACTTATCTCCCAAGAAAACTAGTCCTCAGACTATAGTTTAAAACTTGGAAAAGAAAAAAATTTAAGTAAGTTTGAACTATAATTAAAAACAAAAGTATGTTTTCTACACTGACCGATCGGATATTCTTAGATTAGCATAGAAACAAATCAAAATATTTCAAACTTTTATCATAAACTATTTTGATTATGGTCTTTCTGTATGTAAATGAGTTTTATTCGGGCTCTCAAGAGAAAACACTACATTGTTTGGAGAAAAACCATAATACTACAGTATTTTTACAAGAAGCTAAAGCTCTAAACCATTTCCCAAGGATTCATACTATCATTAGAATCAACGTAATGCATAAGATTTTGAGTCAAGACTCTTGACTCCAAAGCGATTAATCAGTTGAAGGATTTCTTTCGTTAGATAGTCTTAAATTACAACGGTTTTTCATATGCAATTCCATATGTTATTCTTTAGTAATTTGATAACAAGATAGATTAAAATAACTAAAATAATAATCATCAATCAAACATTCACAATTGTATTTTATCTTTATTAGTACAAAAACAATTTAGCTCTTGTTTTTTTCAAAAATAAAAATAACTTGTTAAATTTTTTCCTCTGAATCTTAAATGTGCCTATGTAAACTTCATTGATTTTTTTTCTATCTGAGTACTTTCTATCAAGTATAAAAGCGAAGCATTGAAAATGTATCAATCTTATTCAACTCCACCTCCTTTTTTTCTCAATCTTGAAATTTTACTTTTACTATTTCTATTTGGCAAGGTTAATAGCGCGTGCAAGTTTCCTTCATAATTTAATGGTATACTTAAAATGCATCTTGACTTGTTAGTTTCTTTTCTAAATTCACTGATCGAAGAAAGAAAAACAAATTTTACTAATGCATTCTTTCTTTTTTTTATCATTCATAGAAAAATCAGCTGTTGATATGTTGAGTCACTTGGCATTGAAGAGGACGAAAAACACGCACCGCTTCATGATAACTACTTTACATTACTATTAACTTCATTATTTCTCTTCGTTTTCTTTTTGTATCCTTTGCTGTTAGTTATTTTTAAAAAATTCCGTTTCATCATCATATCTTGTTTCTATTCTATTTTTATCGCTTTATAACACGAGAAAAAACAAACACACAAATCCATAAATTTTCAAACAATGATTGTTTGTTTCTATGTTTTTTGGCAAGAAGTTTTGATCTTTCCATGTCGGTGATGAATGTAAAAAGAATGTGTGAGAGCGAAATTGACCTCTGAACAACCTTTCAATCAATATTATGGGTGTATGCATCGAAGAGCGCGAGAGAGAAAAAGAATACATATGCATATAGAGATATAGATATAGAGATATGCGTGCACAACAGGAGCATTGCAGAGAATGGATAGAAAGACGAACGGACAAAAGGTTCAACTACGAATTCTTCATATTTCTCTTATTGCTGTTGTTGTTCTATATGTAGTGAAATTCTGGTAGCAATAAAGAGAGAGAGAGAGAGAGAAGTGATCGGCGCAGAATCCCTTTACGCACTATTCAATGCTTTGCCACAGCACAAAATTCTTTCTCTTCATTTTCTCTTACGCTGTGCTCGACGGCGACATCCAGAAGATTTTGTTCGTCGTTGACGATGGAGTTGAGAGTTCTCCTTTTTTCTTCTTCATTAACGTCCTCGTCATCGCCAATACCAAGTCTCACAGCACGCAAACACACACTCACATAGTAGTTATGAAGGTATAGAAGAACACGAAAGAGACCCTCGCATGCTTTGGATTTTTCGGCATTCTATCAGTCGTTATGTTGAGAAGAGAAGTTGAGTGATGAACTTTACGCATAGGACGAATGCGTGAGCAAATGCTTGTGCGCGATATGATCTGAAGAGACGAGCGAGAGAAAAGAACGAGACGCAAAAACCGGTTTTTGGATGACAACAATAAGACAGAGCGCAAGAAAAAAAAATTGCAAAAGAAAAATGATTTATGGGGTGCCCTTCTTTTTTTTCTTCTTTTATCTAGCCTGCATACATTAATTTTGGCAAGTAAGGCGTAAACAGTCAAAAACGGAAGGCATGACAATGGTAACTATACACGTTAACTGTAGTCTCTCAGTCGGAACGATTTTAATAGGTAAATAGGTTTTTTATTTTCCACTACATTCAAGTATTGTTCACGGCAAAGAAAAAACTAAGTACGTATATACATCTATGGTAGTTCTGAAATCCAGTTTCATTGAGTGCAATTCTGTAATGCACGCACTTCTCTTCAATAGCGTAGTGCCGATCAAAAAGAACCGGCAAGGGAGTAAAAACAGAACGAACGAGAAAAAGAACGTATTTATATCACGTTGCTCTATATGACTGCGTTTTGTATAATGTGGTGTAGCAAGTAGAAGAAAAATAAAAGAAAGACAAAGTTTTTAGTAAGCAATGCAATTTTTTGAGAACGAAAGTACCAAAAATATTGAGAACTGAAACATTTGTGTTACCTGACTTTTATCTTTTGGTAAAAGTCAATTGATACATATATATCTCTACATTTCATGTGCTTGCCCTTTGCATTATTCTGAAATTTTTTGTTCTTCAACAACCGCAAAATAGGACAGCAAGAGAAATTGGACTCACTGAGAAGCAAACGGACGAATGGAAAAGAAAGAAACATCGTTCCTTCGTCACTCATATCGGTATTAGTCCATCAAGAGAGAAAAAAGATTATATTGTACACGTATGCACATATTAATCGTCCGTCCGAATTGTATGTCTTCCTTCTTCTTCTTCTTTTTCCTTGAACAAGAAAAAATTTCAGACGGTCATACATAAATCTTTTTTTCAGAACGTTGAATTGTGTATTCATTCTTATGTGTTGACCTTCTTCTACTGACCAGTCATGGATTCAGCATCAATTTCAACGGTAAAAAGATTTTCTATTTTGTGTTTATTTCATTTCTCATTTGTTATCACATATGAAACTTTAGAAATCATTTGTTTCACAGTGGAATGCTGATGCTGTTATTGCTTGGCTTCATGAATCAAATTTAGGTGCATTCGAAAAAGTCTTCCGAGGTATTTCTATAGCAAATTAATTACTTATTATGCTTAATTTTTTTTCTTCTATTTAGATAATGAAATTGACGGTCCTATACTGCTCAAACTTAGTGAATCCATGGTTGCTCGTTTATTTCCAACCATAAAACTTGAAGTTCAATTTCTTGATTTATTACAAGCACTCAAACAAAAAAATACAGGTGATTTTAATTCAAAGAAAACTATTTCATCGTCACCTGCATTAACAAATGGACGATCAACAGCAGCACAGCAGATAGCTGCTCATGTTAGAGCATCATCATCATTTGATAATGGACATAGTCACTCATCAAATTCAAATTCGCCACAAACCACAAATGGCCAACATCATAATCCGTCAAAAGTTATCTATTCTGAACGTTCAAATATTTCCAAAGGACCACCATTAAAAACACTTAAACGTGAACCAAAATATTTTCCAAATCAATCACTCAAGTACATAAAAAAAAGAATCTATTTTAGAAGGAAATTTTTATTAAATTTCTAAATTTTAGTACTCAATCAAATGGAAATATAAGTTTAAATTCAAATGAAAACGATACAAAACATACATTTCCTCATGTATATAAATTACCGCAATTTGCTGAAACACTTCGTTTAGCACTTGCTTCACAAGATGCAAGTGCTTTTAAACTACGCACTTATTACAGAAATTTATTAATATCATCTATTTATGATGATCTTACGCGTACATATAATCTTTGGTATGTAAGAAAATAAATACGATATTATTATCTCGCGATTTCTTTTTTTTTATCATACGGATAAAGCTATTTGCATATCTTCATTGAGTAATTTATCGAATTTATATTGACCTCTATCGTGTCTTACATAGTTTCCAACAGTACTATACATAGAATAAGCAAGTGATTAATCTTGAAGCAATATAGAGAAAACTCGGAAGCTTGTTTCTCTTGAGATCATCTTCGAATCGATTTTTACACTCAGAATTTTTCATGTACAAGTTCATTATAGGCAATGTCGGATGGCTTCTCCGGAGATGTTAATATTTAAAATGGAGCTTTTGAGAAAAAACTAATGAATATCATGTCGATTGAAATATTTGTGTACTTAAGTTGAATCGAAAATCTTTGAGAAGAGTGATCGAATCAAATTGAATGCCGTAATTCTTCTTTTGAAACAAATTTGATACTTTCCGCAAATTAAAATAGAATGTAGATTAATCAGTTTTCAGTTGGTAAATAATGTTTTTCCTTCTTCTAATATCAATAGAATCTTGAAGACTAGAAACCATTCTTTTCAAAAGGCAGTTTCTCATTGGACTAGGTTCTCGCATTATTTATCTCTTAATTGGATTTCTCACTGATGGAAAGATATGAGAATAGATGTTATGAAGTCTCGTTCGACATTGTGACATATGACTATTAATATCTTTTCTCTACCGACGAACGGTATCATTCTAATCTTATTTGTGAAGAAAATAGTTTCATCAGATTTCCAACTAAGTCTGACAGGAACAACATCAAAATTTCATTTTTTTGGCATTGTAATAATCATAGCCTTTCTATTGCCATACTACAAATGTTATTGTACACTTGAAAAATCGTTCATGTGACCGAATTTCTCTTTTTAGGTATCCTAATGCTCGACAGTACAAAACAGTCGCGTCAGCACTTGTCAAAGCTTATCCATTTCTTGAATCTTCAACAGAAGGTGGCGAGGTAAGTAATTTTGTAAGTGCATAAAAGACAAAAAAAACAACAATATCTTAAATCACTTTCTTGAATAGGGTGCATGGATTGATGGTATCAAAGGAAAATTTAAACGTGGTCGTCGTACAGTAACATCATATGTTGATGTAGCCCAAACGATGGGTGGTGAGAATGGATTCGATAGAATGTCCGGTGACGAAGAAATGGGCGAAGAAAAATTAGCACAAACATCCGGTGGGCAAAAACGATCAAGACACGATTTTGAAGTTGATTCTGATGAAGGACATTACGAATCAGGTGAAATGCCGAGAAATCCCAATGGAAAAGATATGGTATGATGATTACTATTTTCAAATATATTTCTTTAAGAAAACGCTTTTTGTTTCATTTTAAGGATCAAACCAGTGAGAATAATGATGAATTAGATGAAGGCGAATTGAAACGTTTACGCACTTGTATAGTAGCTATGAAAGAAACACTAGCGACAACAAATGATCCTGATATATCTCTTATATCGGATTATTTTAAAGAAACATTTGAAATTCGTCGAGATTTTGTTAAAACACATAATACAAATGAAATTCTTGTAGAATATCCAGCATTACAATTACATTCATGTGTATGTTTCTTTGTTTTGATTAATTTTTCTTGGTTTTTTGAAGGAAATATTTTTACTTTTAGTTACTTGCTGATTTTCATATGCAAACAAATATTCCTATTCAAACTGTATTAATACATAAACTTCGCTCAATATCAAAACCAATTATACGTCTTGCAAAGGAAACTGGTTGTGCACCAGATATTCTTCATTCATATCATACTATTCTTTCTCAACGACCACAATTAGAACAAAGTAAATCGACCATGAAATTTTCATTCGAGTCTATAAGATAGTTTCGTTAAGACTAGAAAATGAAGTTTCTGATACTTTGTTGTAGCTTCTTCGATAATCGATTTCATGCTGAATGCATTCAAATCATCTGAAAATCCTGAGTTCGTTAGTGTTGTGTTTGAGATGGATACTTATTTAGTGACATCTAACTTTATTTCAATTGAGAATGCATGTTAGATTACTATTCAATTTAAGGTAAAGATGTTTGATCTTCCGGAAAGTAACGTTGTTATTACCGAAGTGCACTTTTTATCTAATGACAGTGAAATTTCAATAAAAAGTGTGACGTCGTCATGCTTGATATCGTCACACATGTGCTTTCAAGAAAAAAAACAAGAACGATTCGCTACAACGAAATTTCTTCAAAGATGTGTATTTCTCTGAAAACTATTTATATTTAAAAAAAAATCAGCGATGAAGGAAACGATAGATGCTGAATCGACAAAAAAAAAGAAACAATCATCTAACTTATAAAATATCAAGCCTCGGATTATTATCTCAATTGAGATGATATTGTCGAAAATAGACTTCTAGAAGTTGCCGATTGTATAGATGCTTTATTGAATGTTTACGCATTGACTAGAAAATTAAATGTTAAAATTTAGTTCATGAATAGGTTCCGTAATCATTAGAATATAATAAGGATTTCAGCCGACAAGTACGTTTCCTTATCGAGGTATTGAATTTCTAAAGATAGATATCCTTGTTCGTCATGCTGATGATACAAAAAAAATGAAATTCGTGAAAATTTATTACTGGCAAGCAAAAACGATTTTTTGAATATCAGGATCGTCGTCTAAAGTAAATAGTAAAAAAAATATATTATTATATGGATTATCTCAGTGTATCTATCGAAGAGGAAAATTCGCTCAGTGTTTCATGCCCAACGGATTTATTATGGAAATCACCTTTTAATAAATTTATTTTAGTCTTAGCCGATACATTCGCTATATTAATTGTTGCATGTTATTTTGGTGAATATCAATATTTACTAATCTCACCTGATAAAGTATGTAGAAGAGAAAAATACTTCATTTGAAATAAACCATTATTTTCTTTTTTAGGATGCTCAATCTCCCTGGCCAATAATTCGCGGTGATCATCCAGCACGTGCATTTTTCGATGGAAAACCTTCTTCATTAGCCTACAATATTGAATTAGATTATGTTCAATTGTTTCATCGGCCACTAAATGATTTATTAACAGCTATATGTACATTATTTGCTACGTATACAGTTTTTGAAATTACATTTGGTAAATTAGAAATGACATTATCATTCATCGATTGTTTACTTCGCGATAGTACTCATGGATCATCACGTTCACCACAAGTACTTGAATTTATCAATGAACTTAATTCTATGAAATAAAAAAACAAACATAATCTGTTTTGAAAATATCTCACGCAGTGTACATGTATATATATATATATATATAATAATGTCTTTGTGTGTGCGTGTGTGTGTGTCTCTCTGAATATATCTGTTTCGTCATATGAAGAAAAAAAAGCGACCATTTAAAACAAAAAAATCTTTGATTTCTTTTTCTTAATCTTTTAATTTATAAATTAGTATGGTAGCAATGAAATAGAATATACTAATTAGAAAACCAAATATAATTCCGATTAAACGTAATATGTTACAGTCATGTGTAATAATGATAATTCGTAGTTTTGGATCACCGAAATCATGTTGAGTTATGACATGCCCATGTGTATAATTAAGAATTGCGTATAGTGTAAAACAAGATGCAAGAAAATATGAAAAAGATAAACATGCATTTAAGATAAAAGTCGATTTTTTAGCTTGAACAATTTCTAAACCAAATAAACGATTAATAAGAAAATAGATTTCAAATGAAAATGATATCCATATTAAAATATAATAAAAAAGTATCGACGAATGATTAAAACCAAGAAATTCATTTAGAGATGAACTACAAGAAGAAATTTTTAGTTCAGCTAAACTTAATAGAAGAATTAAACAAATAAAACGAATCAGATGTATAACGCCAACTGAATGTTTAAAGTAGTTTATCGACATTAGTTCGGTTGTCAGAAAATAAAAATGGCAAGCGCGATTTTTGTTTTTCTCTCGTTTTATTTACATAAGAAAACAAACTTCGCGAAGAAAATATAATGAACAATGATTATATTAAAAATCAAAAAGGTTTATTGCATCTGGCTCGACTGATTATTCTTATTATTTGTATCATTTTTATAAATATATTATCATGTGGTCAAAATGCGTTTGGTGGCCATGCAAATGTTAACTCAACATCAGACAGTGAATTTATTCATATTAGTAAGATTTTTCTTTCGGATGTTTCATCCTAGAAGATTGAACGATTCATCGCAGGATACTTGATGGTTCATAGAGTAGCAAGTTTTGGAAGATTTGAGTAGGAAATCTTAGATTTTTGTTTTTCGAAAGATGAAAATGTCGAGTGAATAAATGTTGATCTCGGTCGAGTCGTACTTTGATAATGTCAATGAAATGCCTCTAATCGGAAATCAGCAGAAACACTGAATGCACGAGAAAGCTTTTTCAATTTTTTGACATTCAATAAGTAGAATTCGTTGTCGCATCTATAATTTTTCGAACCCGGATACCACTGGATCTAGGAACCGCAATAGAAATATTCGTTCCTATAATCTAATAAATATATAATTCAATATTTTCTATTTTCTAGTTATGTGGGTAGCTCTAGCAGTTGATAGTTTTGTTTTCTTATGTCGAATGTTCGAGCAAGACGATGGAACAAGTCAAACATCATTATTAATTGATTGTGCATTCGGTCTTATCTATTTTGTTGCTTTTGTTATTCTACTTGTATCATGGATAAAATGTGCCGATACAAATACATTATTTTGTAATGGTAAACATAAATGTATTGTTCATATTTTACCTACTGCTGGTGCTCTTGCTCTTACAATACTTTATATTTATCATGATGTTCAACGTTCAATTGAACAATTAAATTCTATTTAAAGACAACGATTGATAGATAAACCAAATAAATCATTTTTTTTTGTTTTCTTCTTTCTTTTTTAAATGAATTGATGAAGGAAATGTTTATATAAATAACGTTTCTTTTAAACAATCTCTAAAATTAAGTAATAAACCTAGAACTTTATTTGATTTGGAAAGTCGGTTGTTTGAGCCGGAATTAATCGAAAATATTCATTCATATTCTAAGTATTAATCTATCGATAACAAGAGAAAATTTAATGGTTCCAAGAAAGATAAATCGTACTGTGAATGTTTCGATTTTCGATTGGCTATATTCACACGGTAATATTTGATAATATATTTTATACAATAGCTAGCAGGTAAATTTTTCTTGGCCTTGAGTGACTCAAATTACCTACAGACTACACGAGAACGATTCATAGTTTGTTGCTATTCAATTCTATAAAACCACTAAGTTGACAATAATAATAATGTTTGTAAAGAAGTAGACCAAACCGATAGGTCTGATTCTGTTGACCGGTAATGATCTGTGAATCTTCTACACTTTAAACTATATATATATTCACATTAAAATGAGTTCATCGTGCATAAAAAGTAGCGAATCAATTTTGTTTTTATATTTAAAAAAAATGAATATCTAACCCAGAAAAAATTTTATTTATTCTTAATAGTATTTACAAAATTCTTTCTCTGCTGTATTCCTATCGTGTATTCAAAAATAAGCATAAGAATAATCACTGTGTAAGTCACACACACGCATATAATACATTTTCTCATTGTCAATCGCCTACTCAACAAAACAAAATAATACAATCCTATACAAACAACTAATCATGATCGTCTATAAGCAAAATAGACAAATTGGAGGTAAAATAAAAAGGTGTTAAATACACGAAAGACTAAGTATTTTAAAATAACAAAATAAAAACAAAATCATTGACTGTCGTTAGCCGCCAAGCGAACACATTCATCAGGTACGCGTTCAGGTGCTAAAATAAGAAGAATTCGTTAAATCATTATTCTAGTTTTCTTCATTACTCACATGTGATTATCGATGTAACGCGTCCCATATCAATAACAGCTTGTGACGCTGCTTGACGTAATTGTGCTAGATTAAGAGAATTCGTTTTCCATTCATTTAACGAACGCGTAAATTCTTCAGGTGAATCACAGGTTACAGTATTTTGAAATGTATCAAATATTCGTTTTAGAACTAATGAATACGGATAGAATTGCCAACTCTTTTTCGTACGCTCCGCTACATATTGATGAAAAAGTGCATATGATGCTTCACGAGATCGCCGTGTTGGCTGTATTACAGGAATGCCATCAACAGGTAAACTTGATTGATATTGTGCTATTTTTTGTTGTAATTGTTCATTTTCATGTTGTATTGAATCAACTTCCGTTTTCATTTTATCACGCAAATCAATTGTTCGCTGAATATGATTTGCGGCTAAGAGATGAACAAATAATGGTGAAATAGTAGTATAGAAAAAATAACTCACTAAAATCAAGCATTTGAGCTTTGCTTATCTTAACATTCGATTGATCGCAGAGTTCTGGTATGAGTGTACGAAGACTTTCAAAACCATTCTAAAGGAAAAAATATTGGAAATTATTTTGAAAGGAAAATATTATTTACTTTTATATTTCGGCGACGTTTATTTTCAGCATTTTGTCCACAACTTGAATTTGACGAAGGAGAGGTATTGGCTAACTAAAGATGATTTCAAAGAAAATATAGCATGTATACACGTGCTTCGAAACAAATTGTTTTCTTTTTTAGTCTCAGCCTAGGAAAGAAATTGTTAGTTGAATATTTGTAGGATTTGTGTATGAAAAATAATATAAGTATGTAGGATTCTGTGGCTTTTCTTACTGATCAAGAGCAACCTAGTCGGACACTTATTCATTTTAACATCTAGCGTAGTTTTCAATAATCATTTTAGAGTTTATCTAGTTATTTTTCGTTTGCCTGTCATTCCGACTGATACGATTTACAAGACTCAATTACTAAAATATTTAACGATAAATCTTCAGTTGTTATTTAGATAATAAATGAATACAATTTTTATGAACCACTGAGTGTTATTGATAATTAGACAAGAATCTATGTAACGAATAAATTTATATCATCTGTCAAAATCACAGTGACATCAATATAATTGTTTATATTTCGCCATATTAATTGTTTTTCTCGGGAAACAAACAAGGGCATACAGATACTCTCGAAAACGTTCGCATATTTGAGTATGATATGACTCAGTATGACGATGGTATTTCTTTCTATGAAGTATTTTATTATTCTACGAGATTGTTTTTGCCATTATCAACATGTGGTAAATATCTTACAGGCAAACAGAAATAAAGTCACGTCTTTGGATTGTATTCTGAAAAGTAGATGCATATTAATATGTCAAAAAAGTTGATATCAATTATCCTGTTGGTATTTATAGGATTTCTGTAATTTGGTGAATTGCTTCTTCATAGATAATTATATTCTGTCATTCTAATGAATATCTGAAAATTCCTCTATAATTAAAGGTCGACCAGTTTACCACTAATAAACTAGCTATTGAAACGCGGCTGTTCTATATCAAGAATGTCACTTCCGGAGGATAAAAAAACACTTTACTCTTCACAAAAAAGCCACTTCCAAGAACTAAGTTGTTCGAAAAAATTCTTTCCCTGACTAAATCTGAACTGTCCAACCTCTAAGCGTAACACAATCATAATTAAAACTTGTAAATAAATTCAAGTCTCAAATTTCAATTATTACCATGTCATTATTTAAGAAGGACGTATCTCCAGATGTTGCTGATTTTTGTTGACTAGTTAATGAAGATGATGTTGTACTATTAAATTGTTGTGGCATATTCAACGGTATATCTTCAGAGATTAAACGAGATGTTGAGCGTTGTTGCATTCGAGCTTTACGAGTTAAAGGAAAATTTAACATCGTTTGAGTTGGATTTGGCATATGCTAAAGAAAGATATTTGTATCAATACGAAACAAGAATAGTTTCTATTTCAATTTACTTGTATATCCTCATTTAAGGATAGAAGACGTTTTGTTTGTGTTTTGTTCTGTGATTGTTTTCTTGCTTGTTTTCCTGGTGTTATAGATTTTTCTTTTAATGATGAATTATTTGATACAGCTTGCTCTAATAATGATGCTGGTCGTTTCTGATTAAGAAGATTAACTAATGTTGATGATGTTGGTTTATTTATTAAAGTCGATGAATAACTTAAAGTTGTTTGCGGTGTGCTCATCATAACATTGGATGTTGTTGGTATGATTTGTTTGCTAGTTGTATTATTATTCTTAGATTTAGATAAAGTTCGCGATGGATAGGTATCAAATGGAAGTGTCTGAGGTGTTAATGGTTCGTAATGATTGTTATTATAAATATTCATTGAAGTTAATTGATTGACATTCATCTAGTTTGAGGGAGAGAAATTTTTATAGAGAAACTTTTAGAGATTAAAACAAAAGATTCACATTAGTAGTATTTCGATTGAGAATGTTTTTTTGATGTTCAATCGATAAATTTGCATGTTCCGTTGGTGGAGTAACTAATCTTGGAAATTCATTTAAAGATTGTTGTGATTGTGGTGGTAGATTTAATGTAAAATCTGGGTGTGATTGATAATTATTTAATGGTTGTGGCTAAAATAAGAAGTAAAGGATTTTACTTATTCATAAACATTTTTTTCGACTGAAATTTTGAACTGTTTGTTAAACTTTCAACAACAATCGGTGTGACTTATTATTTATGCTTGAATTTCTAAGAGAAGTTTTTTTCTAAATTTTCTCACGTTCTTTATGTTTATTTGACTTATTGTCATTCATTCTTTATAGAGTATTAGCCTAAGTATTGACTTGTATCATTGGTACGCATTCATCATTTCTATAATATCTGTCAACGAGCTATGATATATATGTATATCTTGAAAAACGTCATAATAAAATCGATATTTATTATTTATGAAAGTTTAAGCTTGATTAACACAGGTAGCCAACGTAATCGATCATATAATCTGTCATGTCTGTTCAGTTAGGGTGTATGGTGCTTCCTAGACCTTCGTATGCCAAGTCTAATGTAAATCATTAGTCCATTGTTTTAAGAAAACTGATCTCACGAACGATGGTCTTTCGTTTCTTTCTCATTTTATGTGAGCCCACTAAAACCTACGAGATTTTTGTTTTTCGAGAGACTCCATAAAGAACCACGCAATGCAAATTGTGAATGATAAGATCGAATACATGACTTTCTATGTAAGCTCCAGCATGCCTATTCTAATGATCAATTACAAACGTTAGTTTTCTTAGTTCCACTTCTCAGAAGCTGCGATAGAAAAAAATGTTTTTTTCAAGTATGAATATCTTACATTGTAATTATTATATCGAATACTAAATGGATCATCTAAAAAGCAACGTGAATATTCGATTATTAATTCAAACGAAAAGTTTTTACTCATCATTGTTTGATCTAAACCATCAAGTAACGAATTGAAATCAAAAAGACATTGGCCCATGACCGGCTGATACAAATCCGGATTTCCACCAAGACCTATAAGTAAATTTTTCACCGTAAATAATGTAATAAAAATCTATTTGTGTTATCAGAATTCATAAAAAAAATGAGAAAAAGATGGAAAAATTGCAAAGAATAAAACAAAATATAAAGCTAGCATGACAATAACTACACAACCGAAAGGAAAATAAATGAAAGAGTTTAAAGCAATTAGATTATTGTTTGGGTATTAAAGTGTGTCGTTTATGGAATTCTATACACACAAAATGAATTGGTTAACATCGGCGAGCATTCACAATAATCGATATATTCAAAACAAAAACGGTATATATATATATATTTATTTATTTATTTATATGTGTGTGTGTGTAGGTGTAGATATACGTCATCAACTGCATAGATGTGTACTTGTGTACCAATTACCTGAGAATGGATTGTCTAAGAGAAAAAAATCAAGCATAACGAAAAGAAACTAGCAGTCACCATTAGATAAATAGCAAAATAGAAGAAAATGAAATAGAAAACAAGCATACCAGCATCTTTATCATTGAATACATTTGTTGTTGAAAAAAGTAATTGATCTTCAATTAAATCAAATTCATCAAACAAACTATAGCATTCTGGTGGCGGTGTTGCATTCCGATGAGGGTTTTGAGTAATTTTGGGTGTGTAACTTTGACTAACATTTCCCCAAAGTTTTTTTACTTCGTCACTCTTAATTTCAGAAATAAAAATTAGAGTTTTTTTTATTATTATTCTCAAAATCTAGAATTCATACTTGTGTATCGTTGTCAAATTTTCGTAATGCGATCTTTGAATTTTGTCTCCATTTAATATATTCGCCTTTTAAACTATTTATTATCTGTTGTTTCGATTGTTGTGTTAATTGTGTCTAATCAAACAAAAATATATAAATATATAAATTAAGAATTTACTATAATAAATTCAATATAACCGGTAGAACAAGAGTATCTAATGGGGATACAAATTGACAAACAACTTTTTTCATATTTCGAACATCTAGATAAATTTAAAAAAAGAAAAGAAAGATTATATGATAAACAATTAGGAATATTTTAAAATATTATCACATTGCTGATGCCATGTTCGCCATATAATATTATTTAAACGAATTTTATCTTCACATTTAATACGTGGACCACGAAAATTTTTCCATTTTGGTGATGTTAAATTTGATCTAGAGAATAATTTATTTTACAATGACTGATAGAATAATTTATTTTACCGGTAGCCTGTATTGATAACACGTAAAAGATTATACAAGCTTGGGAATTGACCATTGATTTCTGTTCGTTTTTCTTGTTCAACTTGTGATGTATCATTAAGAAAAGGTAAACTTTGTGCAGTAGCATTAGGAATAGGCGATGGGCATGGAACATCCATTGGCTATCGTATATGATTTAAAGTAAGAAATAACTAGTACTAACTAAGAAATAATTTTACCTCAGGATCATTATCAATGCTTGAGGTCATAAACTGTCCTGAGTAAAGAGGATGTTTATCTTCTTTTTGACTTCCATTTGAGCGAAAATTTGGTTCAAGCTTGATTCTTTTTCCAGCTCGAGACATGGCTGTATTTAGGTTAGAAATTCAATGGTGTTCTTTTTCTTCATATAATCAAAATAAACAAACAGAACAAATAATACTTCTATCATAGGCTTTTTTCCTTTCCCAAAACAACAATCATGTCATATGTTCGATGTCGACTGAAGCGACATCAGCGATTCAATTTTTAATGGTTTATTTATTTCACCAATTGGTTCTTATTCTTGCAAAAAATCATATTTCTTGTTCGTATATCGTCGCGTTGCATATATTTCGTTTCGTCGTAATATATATTTGCTTTGTAAAACCTCTGAAGGTGTGCTTTTCGAAAATGTAGAATAAGATTGATGTCGCTTTTCGTTGATCATTGTATTAGCATAATATATTTTTTCGCATTATTATTTGCAGTTGAATTTTAAGCATGACCAGTAGTAGACAGAAAAAGGTTCCTATTTTTTCTCCACATATTCTAAATTTTCTTTCAATTGAGTAGTAGTTTAACAAAAACAAAATACATACACCAATAAATGATTCGTCTTTTATCTTTTTAATAAACATGCTTATCAATAAAAAGTGTGAGTTACATCATAGCAATTACTAACTTTATCAATTTTCTTATTACATTTATTTTGAAACTGAGACTATCTTTTAACTTATAAATATAAGAGAGTTTAATATGAACCACATCCTTTCCAATGTCATTACTATTGCGTGTATCATATGCATCCAATTATTGCAGAAAAATATTTCATTATATGTCAACAACGACAACACAAATTATTGATGGCAAAGAAATTGCCAAGTAAGCTTAAACTAAAATGAATTCGATCAAATCGTTTTGTTTGAATGTCTTCTTTTTCTAACAATTAGAAATATACGTGAAAAATGCCGTTTGATGGTTGAAGAATTTCGTAATCAACAAAGTCATATAACACCGGGTTTTGCAGTGGTGCAAGTTGGTAATCGAGAAGACTCGAATGTTTATATTCGACATAAACTAAAAGCAGCCGAAGAAATCGGCATTCAAGCTCGTCTTGTTCATCTTGATTCTTCGACTACACAAAGACAAGTATATGCGAAAGAGAAAGAAAAAGATTATTTTATTAAGAAAAACTTTTAAATTCATATACTTAAAGTTGATTCAACAAATCGAGCAACTTAATAACGATCCATCAGTGCATGGTATTATTGTTCAGTTACCATTAGACTCTGTTGAAGCCATTGATGCTAGTCTTATTACAAATACTATTTCACCGGATAAAGATATTGATGGGTAAATGAAAACAAATAGGTTTCGTTTTAGGTAAACTGTTTTGTTTTCACAATTAGATTATCAGATCTTAATGCAGGACTCTTATCACATGGACATCTAGATAAATGTTTTGTTCCATGTACGCCAAATGGTTGTCTAGAATTGATTCGATCAACTGGTATGCTTTTGTTTTATAGACATGAGCTGATTTAATTAAGTTTTTTTTATATAACACATTTACACGTCACTAAACCTTCTTGTTAATGAAAACTGATGATAAATCATAGAATGTTATAATTAGGTACACAAATTGAAGGAGCAGCAGCTGTCGTTATTGGTCGAAGTAAAATAGTTGGTACACCAATGTTTGAATTACTTAAGCATAATAATGCAACTGTAACAATATGTCATTCGAAAACAAAAAATATTCAAGATATCGTAAGAAGAGTTAATTTTAGGAAATAGAGATAAAACACCGTTTATGTTAAGGTAAAAACAGCTGATATTGTTGTTGCTTGTTTGGGTAAACCGAAATTTATTAAAGGTTCATGGATTAAAGAAAAATCTGTAGTCATTGATTGTGGTATTACACCAGTGCAAGGTATTTTTATTTTTATTTTTCTTCGATTTCTTAGCCAATCAGTTTTATCTATTATTTTCTAGATGAAAATGGGAAAACTCGTCTATTGGGTGATGTGGATTTTGAATCATGTAAAGGTACTGCTTCTTGGATAACTCCAGTTCCCGGTGGTGTTGGTCCTATGACTGTTGCTTTACTCATGTAACTTATTCGATACTAAGAATTTATAAGTAAATATTTTCCGTCTCTATAATTAGGCGTAATACAATCACTGCTGCTCAGCGTTATTTAGATTCTTATGCACCATCGCAATGGAAATCTATGGCCTATTTACCACTTACACTTGAATCACCTGTTCCATCGGATTTAGATATTGCTAAAAAGCAAACTCCAAAAGATATTAAACAATTAGCAAGTGAAATTCATTTACATAACAATGAACTAGAATTATATGGAACGAAAAAAGCTAAAATAAAACTTAACGTACTTGAACGTTTGAAAGATGCTCCGAATGGAAAATATATTGTTGTTTCTGGTATTACGCCGACACCATTAGGTAGATGAAAATAAAACTTTTGTTCAATGCCAATGTATTTTTGTCTTCATTAGGTGAAGGAAAAAGTACGACAGCAATTGGATTGTGTCAAGCACTAGGTGCACATTTGAAAAAGAATGTTATTGGTTGTTTACGTCAACCTAGCCAAGGACCTACATTCGGTAAGAGATGATATCTATCAATAATTAATAAATTTTCTTTTTCATAATTAGGTATCAAAGGTGGTGCAGCCGGTGGTGGTTATTCTCAAGTGATTCCAATGGAAGAATTTAATTTACATTTAACCGGTGATATTCATGCAATTACAGCTGCAAATAACCTATTAGCAGCTCAAATCGATGCAAGAATGTTTCATGAAAATACACAAACTGATCAAGCCTTATATAATCGTCTTGTAGCAACTGTTAATGGGAAACGAACATTTTCAGCTATTCAACAAAGACGTTTAAATAAATTGAATATTAATAAAACCGACCCGGAAACGTTAACTGAAGATGAAATACGAAATTTTGTACGTTTAAATATTGATCCAACAACTATAACATGGCAACGAGTTGTTGATACCAACGGTAGAAATTCAGTGTTAAATGAAAGTATACAAGTTTCTTTTTTTTTTCTTTTCTAGATCGTTTCTTACGTAAAATAACAATTGGCCAAGGAGCGACAGAAAAAAATTTTACACGAGAGACTAATTTTGATATTACTGTTGCAAGTGAAATAATGGCTGTCTTAGCATTAACAACTTCACTAGGCGATTTACGTGAACGATTAGGTCGAATGGTTGTTGCATCCAGTCGAGAGGGTGTACCGATTACAGCTGATGATCTTGGTGTTGCTGGTGCATTAGCTGTACTAATGCGTGATGCAAGTATGTTTGTTTGTTTGTTTTTTATAATAAAGAAACAAATTGTATATTCAATGATAATGTTCTATCTAGTTAAACCAACATTAATGCAAACATTAGAAGGAACACCAATTCTTGTCCATGCTGGACCATTTGCAAATATTGCTCATGGAAATTCATCGATTTTAGCTGATCAAATCGGATTAAAACTTGTTGGATCTGATGGATATATTGGTTTGTATTAATTTCACTCGTTCTAGTATGATAAGCTTCAAAAACAGCTTACGATAGGAGGAAAATGACATCGAAACTGATATTTCAATTGTTAGAATTAGAATTCAGGTAGAATGTATCTCTGTCAAAACTTGTTTGACCTTTAGATGTAATCTTTAACTTCTATGATGCTATATTTCAATAATCCAGCAAATATAACTTCTAGTACTGATTTGGTGATGTGGTTGAATAGTCAACAAATGTTAAAAACTATAGGATGCATGCGTAATTGTCTCTTAAAAGGCTTGTTTATTTTTATTACTATCAGTTCTCTCGGTTGTGATAATAGCCGAAGAAGACTCCTGCCATTCTGTAGGCAAGATCTAAAGCGTCGAAAATGCAATTTTAAAATAATAAGATTTTCCTTTATTGGATTAATATGGTGTAATTTTTTATATTGCAGTCACCGAAGCTGGCTTTGGTTTTGATATTGGATGTGAAAAATTCATGAATATTAAATGTCGTTATTCCGGTTTAGTACCCAATTGTGTTGTACTTGTTGCAACAATGCGTGCATTAAAAGTTCACGGCGGTGGACCTAAAGTTGAAGCTGGTACACCGTTACCTGCGGAATATTCGCAAGAGAATCTACCATTACTCGAACGTGGAGTTCAAAATTTAATCAAACAAATTGAAAATGCACAATATTTTGGTGTACCAGTTGTAGTTGCAATAAATCGATTTAAGTAATTGACTAAGTTTACTAAAATTTTCAAGTTCGACTCTTTGATTTTCTCTATAGATCGGATACACAAGCCGAAATTGATTTAGTAAAACGTTTGTCTATTGAAAATGGAGCTTTTGATGCTGTCATGACTGATCATTGGGCTAAAGGTATAAAAAAAAGAAATTTACTTAGAAATATTTTATTTATATGTATACATCTATTTATTAGGGGGAAGTGGTGCAACAGAATTGGCGAGTGCAGTAGAACAAGCATGTTTACAAACAACTGATTTTAAATTTTTATATGAATTAAAAGTAAATAGTTTTTATAGTTTTTGTTTTGTTCGATTCTCACTGGTTATTTTATTTAGTTACCTATTGAAGAAAAAATTCGTATTATAGCAAGAAAAATTTATGGAGCAGATGATATAAAACTTTCTGAAGTGGCTGAAAAACGTATTAGTCTATTTACTAAACAAGGCTTCAGTGATTTACCAATATGCATGGCTAAAACACATCTTTCACTTTCACATGATCCGTCATTGAAAGGTTGCCCAAAAAATTTTACTTTACCTATACGTGATATTCGTGCTAGTATTGGTGCTGGTTTTCTCTATCCATTAGTTGGAGAAATGTCAACTATTCCAGGTTTACCGACCCGTCCGTGTTTTTATGATATCGATATTGATCCAGTAACTGAAGAAATCTATGGGCTTTTCTAATCATTGTTCAACTGTGATTTTTATTTTTCTTTTAAATTCCATTTTGCTTTATGATAGTAGTTCATTAGATTTACTTTTAATGCATAATAAGGGCAAGGGTTTAACATTTTGTCTTATTTTAGATAATTATTTTTCATAAAAATAAAAATAAATTGATTAATTATTTAGTTTAAAAAGATAATCAAAAGTTTGAACTTTACTTTATCTTTAAAAGGCGTTGAATATGCCATCGATTGACATTTAAAGATTTAGTCGATTCTCGTTGATTGATAGATTGTTGTTATCAGTTTTATTGGGATTTGAAAAAAGCACGAGAAATATTTTCTCGAGATGACGACTTCATTTAAATCAGATTTAACACAAAACGTACAGTCAAATTATTGTTCAACATCGTCAACTGAAGAAGGAGAAGCCGACCTGATAAAATTACAAGCTAATCAAGCATTTAAAAGTAAAATCATCGTATTTTTTACATGTTACTAAATTATTCATCTAAAATAAAATCGTACACTTAGATAGTGATTATGAAAAAGCAATTGAACTTTATACAAAAGCTATTCAAACTCATCCAGATGCTATTTTATATTCGAATCGAAGTATAGCATATCTTCGTCGTGAATGGTATGGTTTTGCATTGATAGACGCTAAAAAAGCATTAGAATATGATCCGAAATATATTAAAGTAATTGTTTTATTGATATGTAGCGAATATTTATCAGTTTTTATATTTAAGGCATATTATCGGCGCGCTTCGGCATATATGGCTTTGGGAAAATTTACTACAGCACTAAGTGATTATGAATATGTCTGTTGAGTTATTTGATTTTTTTCTGTTGAACAATTTTAATTTTTTCTCTCCAATGAACAGGTTAAAAAAGCTCTTCCATATAATAACGAGGCAATTACGAAATATGAAGAATGTAAAAAGGTTGTTACGCGCATTCGCTTTGAACGAGCGATTGCTGTTGATGAATCAAGACAATCTGCAGTTACTCAAATTGATGTTAATTCAATGAGTACGTTTTAGGTATGAAACACATTTTTATTTATTTAGACATTTTTTTTCCAGCTATAGGACCAGAATATGATGGTCCACATTTAGACACGAACGGTCGAGTTACGCAACAATTCATGTTGAAACTTTTACCTTATTTAGAAAATCAAAAACTCCTTCATAAAAAATATGCCTATCAAGTATAGATGAATCTCATTCTTTTTGCTTTTGTTTAAGACATGAATAAATAAAATTTTAATTTAGATTATTCTACAAATACTTTCCATGCTAACATCATTACCAACATTAGTTGAAATCACTGTACCTGATGTGAGTCTAATCACGGTGAATATTCACGAAATACATATTTATTTATTATTCTAGAAACATAAATTTACTATATGTGGAGATGTACACGGACAATTTTATGATTTATTAAACATATTCAAACTAAACGGATTACCATCGGAAGAAAATCCTTATGTAATGTTTTCTGCATAAATTAATATCAAATCATCGATTTTTTGTTTTTGTTTAGTTATTTAATGGGGATTTTGTTGATCGTGGTGCATTTAGTGTTGAATGTATTATTACTTTGTTTGGCTTTAAATTACTTTATCCGAAACATTTTTTTCTTGCTCGAGGTCAGATTAATAGTTTTCGTTTCGTCTTTGGGAAGAAATATGTCACGTCCTATTTCAGGTAATCATGAATCGATAATAATGAATCAAATGTATGGATTTGAAGGTGAAGTCAAAGAAAAATATACTCCAGAAATGTTTCAATTGTTTACTAAAGTTTTCAATTATCTACCGTTGGCACATTGTATTAATAAGAAAATATTCGTACGTGTATAGAAAATTATGTTATTATTGTAGAAAATTGATTCTATTGTCGCGTCATTTTTCTAGGTGACTCATGGTGGATTATTTAATAAAGATGATGTTACATTACAAGATATTTGTGGTATTGATCGAGTTCGACAACCACCGAATGAAGGATTAATGGCAGATTTATTGTGGAGTGATCCACAAACGCAAAATGGCAGATGTGAAAGTAAACGTGGTCTTGGTAAAGAAAAATAAATAGAATTTCTTCTTGTAAGAATATATTCTATCTTAGGTGTTCAATTTGGACCTGATATCACTGAACGTTTCCTTAAATTGAACAATTTGGAATATATTGTTCGTAGTCATGAACTTAAACAGCAAGGTTATGATTTGGGTCACAATAGTAATAGGAATCTTTGTTTTTACCCATAACCCTTTTAACGATATACTTTATTAATTTAGGAAAATGTATAACAGTATTTTCGGCACCAAACTATTGTGATACGATGGGAAATAAAGGTGCTTTTATTACGATTACTGGTGATGATATAACTCCTAAATTTACATCCTATGCAGCTGTACCTCATCCGACAGCACGACCGATGATGTATGCTAATCAATCGTCGCTATTTGCTTCAATGTAAAGTAATAGGAGCAATCAATATTGAGTTTTAAAAAATGAATATTTAATTGATTCCGGTGATCTATATGTTTTGTTTGAATTATTTTTTATCTTATGTTCTTTAACCTTCGCTGTCACATAAATGTTCGTTTTTTTACTAGAATCTAACCTCGTTTATTCAATTTTTGTAATGTACTAATCTCAGTTTGGGAATGTTTAACACTTTTCATTAACTCTGAAACCTCTTTTATATAAAAAGGTTTTCTAACTCAGACAATCAATACAAAATAAACCGTTAAGATATCTTTCGTTGGCGAACCGGCTGAAAGTTTCAAAAAACAATTATTAATTTTTATCTTGCAGCGATGAATGAGTTATTCGACTTATACTGTTTGATATACTATTGTTGCTTTGAGAGAGAAAGAGAAACATAAAATGTATCGTCAATGAATAAATCCGCTGTCAAAAAAGAAAAATTATGCAGATGTTATTACCCAGAAAATGAGATAGAACTTTGTGAAATACCTACTAACTTATCGTGAACTAAAGAGCAAATAAGAGATTGAGCGGTTGAGAAAATTTTTACGTATTCGCCTTATTTTTAATATTTGTGCGTTATTATTGCTCATTGGATCAATTTTACACTCGATTGTGTCTAATACCAATCAATCATAAGATCTCATTCTTAATTTTAACGAATCACCCCTACTGCCAGAACTTAATTTTTTTTAATTATAACCCGTGACAGTCATAACGTGATAATACAAATCAGTATCATTTGTATTGACAATGAAATTCAATAAAATAAGACAAAAGAGTCAAAAAAAAAAGAATGCAGTAGACAATAGACAACCTAAAATAAAGTCGAAAAACGATACAGAAGACCAATGAAGAGAAAAGAAGAAAGAAACCGCCTTATCTTGATTTATGAAAAATTCGATCCAACAGGCTCTAACATAGAACGTTCTAGAAACAAAGCAAAGTTTAAAAAAACCTTCTAAATTGTGTGTTACTACTGAATCAAAAGTTTCTTGTCTTGTCATCCAACAAAGCGTTTGTTCTAGTACATCAGTATGAAGTACAAATCGTTTTGATCTACATAAACAATGAACTCATTCTTCTCGCCCTTGTCATTCGGATCTGTTCGTGTTCAATTCTGAGTTTTCATCGTAAACATAAGGAAAGATGTTGGCATCGATGAACACTTTTTAACAGTGGGAAATATGGATGATTCAGTAGTAGAGGGAAAATATTGAAGAATCACGTGAATAATGTACTAAAAAAAGTAAACTGTAATGCTATGATAGAAAAAGATATTTTCGTGAAGATACGATTAATTTGGCTACCGTCGCTATTGTTTTTCTTCTCAATGTCCTATTCTCCATTTGCACACAGTGTTTGAAGAGTTTTCGAAGGTCATAAATTCGACTAGAAGACCAAATATTTGTTTTATCAGTACTGTTTTTTTGAATTATTTCTAATATTTTTCATGAAACTTGAACAAATAGTATTGATATGTTGAGCATTCGAATCAAAAGTCTTAGTTATGTTGTATTGATATATTTATTCTTAATTATTTATCAAGTTATAAAAAGAATATCCTTATGAAATGTACTAATACCCAACTTTTACGTCTAAAGTGCGTTTTGATCAAGGTTGATTTTCTTTAATATGCGCACTTTTTAACTATTCATGATAAAAGATATGAATTTAAGCAACATGGTACCTTTACTATTGGATTTTAGTACACGCAGCACAGCGTGACTTTTCATTCCCGCTCTTTTGGATGCAATGGAGCGTAACTGCGTCGCAATTTCAACACAATCATGATACAAGTTAAGCGACGAAAATTGAAGCACGCTTGAATATAGTTTCATATAGTCGCTTTGAGTTTTGAAAATATTTCAAAAACAATATGTATCGAATAGTCTGGTTCCGAGAGAACCATTTTCGTTAATATTATCAGGCCTCAACAAAAGAAATATAATTTAAAATTTATTGTTGAAATATTAAACAACTATATATGTATAGTCAGAACAGTCTTCATTTTCTATGAGAAATTATTAATTATTTCATCTACATGAATGCAAACTTTTCATGTTTAAATTTCATAGATTTTAGTAAAACACAAAACTAATGATAGTTGATCGATTGTTGCCGATGATTGTCTAGGAAAATGATTGACCAAGATTGCAAACGAAAAATTTGATGTATCACTGTGTATCCTTGAAAATTTTTGTGAAATTCTAAATGAATTAAAATTACATTTTATTTCTTTTCAATTAAATACAAATTGATTCTTGTTTTATTTCAGCAGTTTCAGATGGCTCTTTTTTAATCTCAACGGGGTTAGATAATTTGACCATATTTCTATTGACTGGGACTGTCTCGGGATTCGTTACTAAAACAACGATAGTTAATAATGAATATTTTTGATAGTTAGTAATTGTACCTGTATTATTACTCCAAATCGTTTTGATATATGGCTCAATCAATAGCCTCGCACCATCAAAGTCCATACAAGTATGTAACTGTACATTATTGTACCAATGGAGTATTTGTTTTTGACTAATGCATTCATGATTAACAAAAAATTGTAGTAGAAATGTCATCGCCTCTCCTTAGAAAAAAATCAATGATAACTGTTCAATAAAATAATGTGAAAATAAAATTGACTATATACTTTTGTTTCCTTGAAATTTTTCATTAAAAAAGAATGCATAGATACCCAATAAAATTATGTATCCAGTGTGACGACACATTGTGTGTTTTATAATAGTGAATAAATATTCATTTAGAACAATATTCTTTTCTTTCGAGTCTGATTTTCCGTGCCATGCAGCAAGATACGAACTGATAAGTGTAGGCAATTGAAAACTAGAGCCTTGCAGCTAAGAAATAAAACAAAAATACTATTCAGATAGAATTAATATTCTATTCACTTACTGCAAGATAATTGGCAATACGAAGTTTACTTTCTTCTATATCCAATGTATTAGAAAACATTTCAACGAGCCGTCTAAATGATCGATATTTTCGTAGACTTATAAAATCCTCTGATGAGACACTAGCCGAACGTTTTCGTTTACGAGATGATTCATGGATATCTTAAATATAGAACATCATGAAAGTGCGAAAAGTAATTCGTAACTTCAAACTAACGCCTACTTGATGCTGATGTACATCTTGAGACTGGCAATGGTTTAGGATGTCCAAAAGATGGATCTAAATTAACTTCTGGTGGCAATGACGATACTACCCATTTTAATTGTAAACCATCTTGATGTACTTTCGAAATTGTTTGATGGATATTGCTAAGTTTTTCTGCAATGGCATTCTTTTGACTCTCTATAAGTTTTAATTCTTGTCGAGCATCACGATCAAGTTGTTCAGTTAATGTTTGATGTAGTAAACTCAACGATTCTTGTTGAGACTCAACACAATGTAAACGATTTTCATAAATCTGTTGAACTCTTTCTATTTGTTGCGTTCGCCATTTATTTAATGATGTTAACGTTGAATTATAGGTATCTCGACTTTTTTCATAGTTATCGTTAATTTGTTGAAAAGTAAATTCAAGGTCACTTGCAAGATTTTCCATACTGCTAGGAATAATTTGATTGTGGTTAATAATATGTTGAACACATAGTCGACGATTGCAATGTAAACAAATAGCTGATTGAAAATTTGTACACACTGTAGTGGCCTCACAAGTATAGTGTGCCGGCATATCTAGAAATGAAAAACACACTTTCATTTGAAAAATAGTTTCTCAGTATTGCGCATTTGCTATTCTACTGACAAACAAACAAAGGGAAAAAAGTGTTCGCAAATTATTTGTGTTGTTTGAATTGCTACTGTATACAAAACACCGTGTAGACAAATGTAAAATCGGGGAGATACTCTCTGTATAATTTTTTCGTATAGGCTTTTCATCGTTCTGCTTGTTTTACTCGACGGTCCTCATTTGCATGAACGCGTTAGGCATTGGTGCATATTTTTCGGCTTCGTATAATAATATGTAAAAAATATATTATACGATGACATGACAGTGTGATACTATTTGGACACCATTAATTGTTTAAAAAATAAAGATGAGAGACTGCGAAAATATTAACAATCCAGCATGAGAAGTAGAACAGAAAGCTAGACGAGTGATCATTACTGCTTAGTGTTGTAACGATAAATATGGACTCTGTTTCGGGGTTTATACGTTAATGACAAACTGGATAGAAGTGGAGTATGTTATCGCCACTCTAGGCAATGATGTTTATTCGCTTCTTCACATATCCAGAGTGTAAAAATTTTATGCATAACACACGTATATGTTGTAGGCAAAATTGGAATCTAGGCAAATTCCGAATTTGCCCGGGCAAAATTGGAATTCTAATTTTGACTAGACAAAATTAGAATTCTAATACTGACTAACATTTTCTTGGGCAAAATCAGAATTCCAATTCTGCCTAGGCAAAATTAGAATCGAGCTAGAGATAAATTCATATAGTCACATGTTTTAGTAAACGTACAGTAGATGAGAAAAAAAGAGAAAATCGTGATAAAAGCCTGACGTATCGATAAACAGTATAAATATAGAGATACGTGCTTCACACAATCTTATAGAAAATGTCTCAATCGGATTCAACAACTGTCGAAGTGAAAAGTGCGGAATCACTTTATTATAAAGAATTAGAAAAACATAATAATTCTTTGAGTGAAAGATTTCGAGCGAAAAGTGTTATAAAACAATGTGTTTATGATGATATTGTTAAATGTTTATTATTAGCTAAGGGAAAATCGTGCATCAACAAGTGGTCGCACTTGCGATTATAAAGGCAAATGCGTTTCAAAACAATGTCCATGTAAAAAAAATGGAGTTTTTTGTTTGACAAAATGTCATTCAAAACGAGGTTGTTGTAAAAATATGGATGAATAGAGTAAAGCGTTTAGGCTTCTAATTGTAAAATGTTCAGAAAAAAAGATTTTGTTGAATAAAATATAGTTATAACACTTAAATTTTGATTATTTTCTTATTAAGAATTTATCTCTAGCCCGATTCTAATTTTGCCCGGGCAGAATTAGAATTCCAATTCTGCCTGAAAAAAATCCGGTCAAAATTAGAATCTTGATTTTGCCTAGGCAGAATCAGAATTCTAATTTTGACTAGGCAAATTCCGAATTTGCCTGAATTCCAATTTTGCCTACAACATATACATAGGAGAGAGACAGGAAAGAGAACAGAAGGAGGAGGAAGGCGAATCATCGAAGCGTGTCGTCAATATCGGCATAAGTGTATAGTGGTTACTTTTGAAAATTCGATATCTATATGTAAAAGTCTTAGTATCTAACAAATTATTTTCAATTTCGATTAAGACGCTACTGTTTGATGCATATTTTTTTTAGAACTTTCTCATTAGATAAATATCTTGTGATGTTGAAATAGGAAAATAACACTAGCATTTATTTTCCGATTCTTAACGAATTCCTATTTGGAAAAAATGATTCCTAGTGTCACATCTAATAGATTTTTGTTGTAATTTTATAACAATTTTTAAAGACTGCTTGAATATATAAGAACTATCCTAACTCTCTAGTGCTATGAATCTATTTGACATGAAAACGATAAGTCAATCTCTTCACAAAATACAGCAATTTAGAGAATCTTATAAGTCTTGAAAAGAAACTTATACATCTTTAGATGTAAAAAAATAGAGGAAGAAGTAGTCAACTCGAACGTGGGAGAGAATTCATTGGATTACCACGCATGTAAGTAAAGGATTCAAAACAGTGACCATGTAACTCACAAATAAGTGCATACGTATGCACATGACATGAAATCGCAGGCAATATGTGTTGAGGAAAAGTCAGTATAGACAAATAAGACGAAGGTCTTATTCGTATCTACTCTTGTAGATATTTGCTCAATTAAATAGATCAAGCTGAAAACGTTAAACAATACTAGGTGATTAATAGAAAAAGATCTGATTGTACCATAAAAGTACGACTTACGCATTTTAAACATTTAAACAAGAAAAACGAATTATTTCAGTTATTTTGAAAAGACCAAACGCTAATCGCGTGAATATTTATATAAAAATGAGAGTCTACCGTTCATCTAGTGATATTCTTTTCCTTATGTTAAGATAGTGATCCAAGATTACAATACATGCAAAGTAGACGATGTTTATCAGGGCTCCTAATGGGATGGGACGAAATTTTCGTCCCGTGGGATAATGCAAGTCGTCCCATCCCATCCCATGGGCTCCCATGGGATTCGTTATATTACGAAAAATCTTACTAAAAATCAAGGTTTCTTTTTTTTTTGTAACTGAAAATTCGAAGTTTTCCAGCATTCCGATTTGAATATTGGAATTAGGGATGCACCAATTCCTAGTACATTGCAAGAAAGGTGACATTTTTGCCTGATGTAGAGTGGAGCGGTCCTCTAATTCCATATATCAGCCAAGACCATTTTCTTGTTCTACGTAAAACGATAGCTGAGATTTATGAAAGATTAAAAAACGTTTTCGGATTTGACCCAGAATTTGAATTTTCAAGTCGTTTTCGGTCAAATCTAATTCCGTTTCAGACTTGCAGTTTGCATTACACAAAGTCTAAGAATAGATTTGAAAAGAACGTTCAAAACTGAACGGGAAAAAAAATAAGTAAAAAGGTTTAATCCATAACTCCCAATGCCGAGAGCATGTAAACATTGGATAAAAAAATTCAAGAAATTGANAGTATTGTTTAACCGAAACTAAGGATGATAATGAGGAAGAAATAATTATAGAAGGTGATATTGAACAATTTATAAAACAAAAGATGATGATATTTTATTAAAATATTCAAACAAAAAAGAGCATTTATGTTTATTTCTGTTTTCTATGTTTTATCGTATTCTTCATTCAATTGTTCGAATAGAGCTCGGAGTTGGGTTAATGACCAGTACAGAAAAATAATGATAATATTCACACTTTTCACCTATTGTCAAGTGTGACATAAATGAATAATCATTTTTCTTTAAAAAAATAATCACATTTCCCATGGGATTAGGAACTCATCCCATCCCATCCCATCCCATTAGGAGCCCTGATGTTTATCATAAACAAAAGTGAAGCATAGAACAATATACATCGAGACGCTTGAATGAATTTCAAAATATAGCTACTGCTTACATTTTTGATAAACAAATATTAGGTGTTCTCAGCAAGTTTATTATCAGATTAGCTAAAAATGAATCCAACGGATCAAAATCTGGGTCCAACAACAGAAATCACGCAGCAAATAAATGAATACTAATATGAGTAGTGCATTCATTATTTGTTTTTCTCACTCATATTGACTGGATTCGTTAAAAGAAAGAAAAAGTAATTACCCCAGTCTGCAGTAGTATCCTGCAGCCCGGCCGGGTACCCGGACCCGACCAGGCGCCGGGTCCGGGTACGAAATTGCCGGGTCGGGTCGGGTGCCGGGTAGAAAAAAATATATCCGGTCGGGTACAAAATTTTAGCGTACCCGGCACGGCACCCGATCGGCGATCAGTGATATCTAAACATTTTAAAATATTTCACTTTCCAGATTGTTATTGGTTAAAAAAGGAAACTTCTCAAAACAATTTAACTATGAATCATTAGTGAATTACGTATAAGCACAAGAATAAGTTACGTAAGCGACGAACATATTGTTTTCTTTTTCTTCTAATCGGGACTAAACACTGAAATAATTCATTTGTAATTGACGTGGCATATTACTTTGCTTATTAAATTATATGATCAAGTTCGTAAGAATTGAAGAATAAAAAATATTTAAAATATTCATTTTTTTTTATTATTTTAGATTAAAATTGCTTATTATTTGAAGGCCTGTCGGGTACCGGGTACGGCTGGTCGGGTCAGGTTTGGTTCCGGGTGCAAGATGGCCGGGTGCCGGGTGTCAAAAAAGTGAGCCGGGTCGGATCCAGGTACAAAAAGTAGTACCCGTGCAGGACACTAGTCTGCAGATTGTCATAGCCACATCATGACCATATACCAGACACTCTATAAAGACATAATTTATGCGACAGGCATGACTATCATTTACCCCAAATTGTGGCTCTCAAAATCAACCCCCAAACCATATCCCCATTTGGGGATCTAAAATAAATTTTGGTCACCAAAGGGGATTTTAATTTGAGGACGTTTTTGACATGAAATGTATCATAAATTTTGGTGATTAGTTTTAATTAATTAAGCAAAGTAAAAACAGTTTTACGATGAATCTGGTGACCAGAATGTATCTTGAGTTACTACGAAGTCATTTTTTGCCAATACAAAAATACATTCTGGTCATCAGGTGTACCTCAGAACTGTTCACCGTAGGCATCTAAAATATATTCTGATCACTAGATTCATCGTAAAACTGTTTTTACTTTGTTTAATTGATTACAATTAGTCACCAAAATTTATGATATATATCATGCCAAAAAAATCTCGAAATTAAAAAATCCCTAAATGGGGATTTTATTTGGGAATTGAATGCTGATAACCACTTTAGGGTAAATGATAACCTACCATAGTACGAGAAGTACGATACTTTTGATTGAGTATCTATTGGATAGTTACATTTTGTCTTTACACTGGTTGCTTTTCCTTCTCGATCGGTATACAACATCCTCCTATCTTGATTGGTATATAGAAAAGGCCGTAAATGGTTTAAATAAACGATTTAGTATTGAGTTGTATCTTGTTAGTAGATACAGATACTTTATTATATTTTACTAATTCTCCATGGCACGGCACAACTATTTTGAGGATGCAAGTGTGAATATTGCCGTTTAGAACACTCTCACCTTCATATATCTAGGTCTGCTTTAACAACAAAGATTTCTATTTTCAAATCATAAATAAAGTTATTTATATTTGAATAATCTAAACTATCTTAATTTAAAGTTTTCGATGTTTTCTATACACACCAATTAAGTAATATGTTTGTCGTCTTATTTGAAATTTGCTGAAGATAGTTTTTCTATCAATTACTATTACTTTTTGCAGATCTATGCTACAAATCAATATCATAAGAATCGAAAATATTCAAAATCAATTTGCATTCGATTTTTACAAGTAACATCATAGGGGTGGGTGTAAGGCAAATATCTCGAGAACGGCAACAGCTAGCGACCTGCGGTTTTGATCGTTCAAGAGAGAAGACCCATGGTCAACATATTATCTCGAAAATTGATTGGTCACTCATTGATCAATCATATGAATTCTTCCCAGGTCATTATCGACAAGTCGGATCTTGTCGGACGGGTTATAATTCCGATGCCATATGGTGACCGGATTCGGTCGGTTATTTTCTGGCGGGTTCCGATGATATTCTGTGTTTTCTTATGANGACTCGAATTGATCTGACACTGGTATCCCAATATTTATGAAAGTGCATATTCCGCCTCCATGTAACAGCGGCATCGGCATTTCGGAAATATTGGGATACCAGTGTCAGATCAATTCGAGTCTCAGAATAAATGTCACCATTCGACTTGGCGTGATGAAATATCCCTGTCTAGCTGCTTTGTCGTATGATTCCAGGTACATTAGCTGAAATCAAGGGTTTTAGAGAAAGTCGTATAACTCTTCAATAGAACAAACTAGGAACGTGAACCTTGTCTAAATCAAAGGAGAGTAAGTTTTAATATCGATTGCCCTAGTCAACTCTCCCTAGAAGAATCCCCAGGGAGTCCCCTGACAAATCCCCGGGGAATCACGACAGGGAGTCCCTAGGGATTTGGTTCTTTTGCGGTGACTCCCTGAGGAGTTATCTAGTCAAAATCGATGAAATATCTAATTACTAATGAATTCATTTGAATTTTTTAAAATTTTAAAAAGTTAAAAAGTTTTTTTTTAATTTTAAAAAATTTCATCATTTCTCCCCAGAGAAATCCCCGGGGAGTCCCCCAAATAAAATGTCCCCGAGGACTCATGACAGGGACTCCCCGGGGAGTCGTTGGGGGAGAGTGGATTAGGGTGGTCATATCACAAGTTTAAATCAAAAGAGAAATGGCCTCCGAATATCGCTTTTAAAAATCTCCAACAAGAATTCATATGATTGGTCAATGAGTGGCCAATCGATTTTCGAGATAATATGTTGACCATGGGTCTTCTCTCTTGAACGACCAAAACCGCAGGTCGTTAGCTGTTGCCGTTCTCGAGATATTTGTCTTACACCCACCCCTATTTGGTTCTGGTGCCAACAATAATTAGCGTTTTTTTTCTGTTTGAGTATCAGTGAAAATAATAACTGTATCCAAGATTTCTTTGCAGCTAGAAAAAAAACTTGGTTTTATCAGTTCGCGTGTCTTTATTTTCTTCCTTTATGCTTATTTTCACCTGTTCTCCCTCTTATCATTATCATTATTGGTAGTCTGCACAAACTTTATTGTTTAATATGCAAAGATTTATCTCGATCGAGAGTATAATTGTTTTTTTTATAAGTTCAAATTTAGTCAATCTTATCTAAAGCACATGCGCCACAGGGACAATATTCACGCTGTAGACTATTAATTAAGAAAGTGATATTTATTGAAAAATTAAAGTAAGCGAATGAGTACATTTCGTTTGGAATGCGTACAATTACTTTTAGATCCATGTAGAATTACTCTTTTAGTCAAATCATGAACATTATCGTTGAATAGACTTTTTATGGTCGAATTTTGAAAATCACGGTGAGTTCTATACCCTGAAATCGTGTTCATCTATGCTGTTAGAAATAAGCAGCAGTATTTGAAGAAACACCAAACTTCCTACAGAAGAGTTCTTGATTATTAAATCATCACTGTGTTTTGATAAGTCTCGTCAATGGCAGAAACAATTTTTGTTTTATTCAAAAAATGAATGATTTATTTTTCCATTCAAACATCTATAAACGACATCTTGATATTGTCGCGCTATGAAAGCGTTATGATTCATGTCATAAGCACGGAGTGGTTACACATTCGTGTTCTCTTCTTGCAGTGATGTGGGTTTTTTTACTTCTGCCATATATACTTGTTTAACGTAGTATTTAAACTTAAATCTAATTCCGGCAAGTATTGTCGGTGATTAAAACGAAAGAATTTTTTATAATTGTGCTAAATTTAGAATTTAATGATACATATTTCGAATAGATTGTATTTGAAGAAAAACTAAAATTTAATCAAAATTATATTTCACTTGAATTAAATTATTTAAAAATAATTAGCACTTCTTTTTTTTGTAGATAAAGTTTGTCTGAACTGATTTATTATTTTGTTAGTGTACTTATTTATAGTGGATCTCTTGGTGTTATAAAAGACAATTATTAGTGTGGAAAATTAAAATTTAACTTCAAACGAAAGAAATTTTCGATATGATGACAGAACGAAATCAAACACATCAGCTATCATTACAAGATAGTGATATGCCATTGCATAAATGTATGTAAATGAGAATTCCGAGTTTTGTTTTTCATCCAATTTTGATTAATTACACTATTTCATTTGTAGTTATTCCATTAGAGAAATTAGATATTGTTCAATTGAATCAAGTTCGAATTCTTTATTATCAGACTCCACGTCGATTTTACGTTTATCTTCCAAACAAGATTGATACACACGCACAAGTAAAAGCAGCGAAATTACAAATGATGATGACATTTTTCTTTTCCTAGTTTCAAATTGAATTACAACGATCTATGCAGAATTATAAATTAACAACAGCATCCACGCAATATGTGCATCATCAACCGGTTGCTGCTCAAGACAATCATGCTATATGGCATCGTGCAACTATATTAGGTTTAATTTTGTTGTTGATCACTTTGTTTTTTGATGGATTTTTATTTTTGCATAGATTTGAATGCTAATGGAATTGATGTTTGTGTATATTTTGTTGATGTTGGCCAACAAGAAAATATTCCTATAACAAATATTCGTCCATTATCACAAGAATTTATTCGCCAACCAGCGTTCGCAATACCTTGTCGTCTATATAAAATATGTCCACTCAATGGTGACGAACGATCATCGTGGAAATTAAATGATCCAGTACATCATGCATTTAATCAACTTATGGCTAACAATGCTAATTGTAAAGTTTGTGACCGAAAAGAACAAATATGTTATGACGTTGAAATAGATATTCCTAGTAAGTTTCTCTAAATTGTATATAATATATCTATTGGTAATAATTTATCTTTGATAAACTTCTGGGAGAAAGTCTCCCAATTAATTAATCGGTTATATTTCGAAGTTATATGCATCGCGCAGACTCACTTGAGTTATGAATGCTCTGATGTTTGGATTCTAAAATTATTGCTACGGAACTGTTACATTTTTGCGGTTGGTTTTCTTGTTTAATAACATGAAACTTGTCAGAAAAGCGAATTTTCGATTGAAATTCTCATAGAAACAAGTGGTAACATGAATGGTTGAAAGTAGATATTTCAGAGTTTTTAATTTGATCCTATCCTGAAACAGGTGCATCAAATTTATTCCTGCCTATCAAAGATATACTATAGGAAATTTCACCCTTGTTTTATGTTGCAATGAGAATAACGAAAATATTTTAGGTTGTGCCTTTCTGATTAAGATCTATCACTTGAGATAATTTCAAGTCGAAAACTTGGAAAACGAGTATTCATGATGTTCTAGAATAAAAATCAGGCCGTGAATTTTAATGTATATTCAGCAGAAAATCGACTAATCACATGAGGAGCTTTGCTTCTCAATTAATACGCATGAATAAAGCCGGAAAATTGATGTGCTTATATTCAAATACGATCCTTGATACATGAAATTATCCACAATCTATACATCTTACAAAACACTAAACTACAATGAATTTAAGTTTCAATTTTCTGTTATTCACTTACTTCTCTAAAAAATCTATAATTCAGCGTTAACCTAACTAATCATTTACCAGATTTCGATGATAATATTGGTTTTAGTACCCATAGAAGGTTTTACATGCGGCAAGACATTGATTGTTAAGAAGAAATATCTTTTGAATCATTTTAGAAGAAAATTTTGTATTAATTTCTATTGTCGGTATCAAAATATGATGTTGAAATGTACATACAGTAAATGAGTATGCTTTTTTTGAAATAAGATATTTATTATCCTTAGAGCATGGCTCAATAAAAACTATATTCTCTCAATCTGATCTAACTCAATAACAGATAAAGATAATTTAAAATAAATACCGAATGTGATTTTTCAAGTCAAAATTTTCCAATTCTCTCTCTTGTTCTTAGTCTTACCAGTAGAAAGTGTTTGTAGATGCTTTCAGAGATAGAATTCATCTAGATAGTAGTCTATAATTCCGTAGCACTAGAAACAAAAGTATTTTGCACTGGTCGAGAAATTCATGAGTGATGTCTAGAGTATTGTGCTGAGAGCTTCTGTGGACGAAATAGATGTATAAAAACGTTTATTCACAATTTAAATGCAAATAATTACATTGTATAAAGGAAAGACAGTGTGCTGGTCAAAGAAATATATATATTTTCAAAATGCAGAAATATTCAAACAAAAAATTTACAGGTTAGCTAAGATGAGAATGACACGGCAAAAGAATTAAATTTGTTGATTGCATTAACTAAAAGAACAATCTATTTAAGATATTTTACAAATCGATAAGTAATCAATTTAAAAAAGATGTACTCTCTCATCTGTACAGAAGAAAAAAATCATTATTGTATATTTCGTGTGAAGTCATCATTTTCGTTGAATCTCTAGTAAAATAGATGTAAACCTGAGGAAACTTATAAATCTAATATTTATGTACAGCATATTTTTTTCTCGAGTTGAGGAAGACTTGCACATATGCGTGTCAATTGATGCGGAATGAAGAAATATCAGTGCAATCAGTATGAAAATGTGATAATCAGCGTCATCTATTATCGAAATCGGACGTTTCATCGATTTGTTTCTTTCGCTTGTGTCTGTACATATAAAACTTTGGGTAAAAGTAGTAAAAGTATCGAATATAAACGTTTAATTCTTCTTTCTGTAAATATTCACTATGTATAATCGTTTTCTTTTCTTTCGAACAGAAAAAGACTCAGCTATCCATGTGACTTTCACACGAACAGTCGAAAGAAAAATAATTTATTCGCTAGATATATATTTATTCTTTTTAGTAGTGGGAGATCTTGGAACATATCTTTGCGAAAGAAATTTTGTATCTCGAATAGCAATGCGACCGTCTCAATCCAACACGTATAATACAAATCAACCACAACAAGCAGCAATACCGCCTGGATTCTCAGCATTACTTTCGTCTACACGGCAGCCAACACAAGTGTTTACAGGACAGAATGAATTTTATAACAATTCAAATAATACAGTACAACAACAGCTCAATCGTTTACCACCAAAGCCGATTGTTCAACAAGTTTCTGTTGCGTCGTATGTCTAATTTTAGTTTCTTCTCTCAAGTTTAAGGCAGTTTTTTTTATGAAGGGAAAGAAACTCTCAGAAAGTAAAAATATCATTTTGTGTAGAGAGACTAAGTCATGAAATCTTTTCAACTCTTTTTTGTTGTTCTATTGTGACGATATGCAATAGCAACGATTTAGATTCATCTCTCAGATGTTGGTCAACTTTCTAGTCTGGAAAGAGTTCGATTGCATGGCCTGCTAAAAAAGAATTTTGATCAAAACATTTTAACGAAAGATAAATATGAAAAAATACTTGCTTTCGGCTCTTTTTAGCCTTGCGTCAGTTTCAAATACTGAGTATAATAAGCGGAGTCTAATGAAATATGAGAGATTTCAAGATAACATTTCCTTTGCGTGATATTCTTCAAGACACTCAATCCTACGAATGGTATTGGAATTTTTCCTCTTTCTAAATATCTCGACAAGGGATCATTCTTTTCGTACATTAGTATTGCTCTATTTCTTTTTCTGCCTATACCATGTCTAAAGTTCGTATATTTATAACTCTGAAAATCACCTTATGCATACAGTCGGAAATTAAAAGCAATCGAAGGCTTTGTCTCTCATGAGTATTTTTGGTAATATTGATAAGTTGAATTGGTGTTTTTAGAGCATCGAATGATTCATCATCTGACATTAAAACTCTTCCGCCTCGTATGTATATTAGAAATTTATCTTTGTAATCTTAAAAATTTATTTTTCTTTCAGAGGATGGCTATTATACAATAACTCATGTTTATAATGCCATTGAATTTTATGGTCACTCTCAAGTTCGTGAACGAGAATTAGATGCATTTTATAAACATCTTGAAAGCATCTACAATAATAATAATGCAAATGATCAATCTCTGAGTGTTGATTTTTTAATGGAAGGTATACCATGTGTAATTCAACAGGGTGAAAAATATTATCGTGTTATTATCAAGTAAATTCTTCATATTTTATTAGAAGAAATTTTCGAAAATATTTTCATTGTTTAGACATCGTGAAAGTGACTCACGAGTTTTAGTTAAACTTGTTGATCGTGGTGATGAAGTAATTGTGGATACGTCAGAATTATTACAACTTGAAAACAAATATTTTAAAATACCAGCTTTTGCACAACCATTTCGTCTATACAATTATGATGAATCAGTAAGATGTTTTATTCTTTAGACAGATAACAAAAACAAAATAGTAAATAATTTTCTTTTAGCATAGTACAGCTCAAATAACGCGCAAATTGAAAAGATTAATTCTCAATCAACGTGTTCAGATAACACAACATTTACCAACGATAAATGGATTTTATCCGGTGGAAGTGAAACTATCTACTGATAATCAATTAGTAAATCAAATTCTTCTTTCTAATGATAGTAATCCAATAGTAAGTTGTTTCTTATGATTTATTTTTTCATCATTTTATTTATTTACTCATTCGTTTAGGTTTCACCAACATCAAGAATTCCAGAGTAAGAAAATTATTTTAATATTTATCTTAAACATCTATTTTTATTTAGATTACAAACAGCAAGACCGCAACAGGATCTGAATATACAGCGAATTAATAATGATTTACCAGCACCACAAAAACTATTAACAGCGGTTGCGGCGCCTAGCGGACATTCACAACCAGGGCGATTTACAGCGAAGTCTCCTGCTTCGAGTGACCCGACGTCGTCACGATTTTCACGGTCCGAACAACAAGAGGAGCCACGTTCATTTGGCCAACAGCCGCAATCGTTTACATCTAGAACGGCAAATGATTTTCAACAGTCAACCAACGAGCGACATCGTTCAACTAGTATGACTACAGTATACATAGTTCATTTCAGTCTCTGATGTTTTAAGCATCTTATTGAAAGAGTAAGCTTAGCGTGAAAAGGGCTATGAGTGTGAATTGAAATATTTTGTTTACCGTGACTTATTTGATTTCATATTCTCATATTACGATAGATAATTTTCTATGATAATTAAATGAAACGTATGTTTCTGTGTGTTAAATATTGATCCCATGGGGTTCGTTGTAACAGTTGTTTTCTAAATTTAAGGCCGTGGGTTTCCTAAAGATGACCAACAACCGAATCAAAGAACTGGTTTTGGAAATAATCATGGAGGTGGCTTTGGCGATCGAGGAGGTAAATGTTCTTTGATTATATATGATAAAATGCGTTACAATTTTCTACATAGTTCGTAATGGTTTTGGTGAACGTAACATAGAAAATAGAAATGAAAATAATACGCAACGAACAGGCGGTTTTAATAGTAAGAGATAAATTGGAACTGATCTTGGTTAACTTTTTATATTATATTTTTGAGATCCTACTGGTGAATTTACTGATCGTGGTCGTAAGTGTTTACTTGTCTTGTTTGCAGTTAATAGATCGTTTTTTTTATTAGAACACAATGAACGCTATCGCGATCGTCCAAATGAAAACCGAAATAATCAAAATGAAGAAAATAATGGTTCATCACGATTTGGTCGTAAGTAATTTTTTACTGAAATGTTATTTGAATAATTAAATGAACGTTTAGATCGTCGTGGATTTGGTGGAGAACGAGGAAATCGAGGTGGTGGTTATCAAGGCTTTCGTGACAGTGACAATGATGGAGAAGATAATGGACGAAGAAGTGGCCGTGGTGGTCAACGAGGAGGTAAATCTTTTTTGTTGTCGAAACAATTAAAGTATTGAGTTGAATAAGTTTGATAAATTGTAATGAATACATGTTTCGATTACGTCGCAACAAAAACGATTTGCTTTTATTTGCAGTCAGAAACTGATGTTGCTGATCAAACTGTGTAATTAGAGTTAAGGACATCTTGCATAGATCTTTGATACTGTACAGTATTTCTCCTATTGAAGACGTTTGTGAAACACAATTGCCTTTTCTGCTTTGATCGCTCTATAAAAAAATGATTTTTTTTGCTAGCTATTCCGAATACTATTCCGATTTCTTATTGAAGAAAAAAACACGTTCTTCAAATTTTCTCATCCACTGCATTATTATTTCCTTAGTAGTAAAACAAATCGAAGAAAAGTATTCCCAATTCCACCTAAAATGTCTCATACACATCTAGAAATACTGTGAATGAACGTAGATCTACCATCTGATCGTATAGAGATTCTTTATTCTAATACTAAAAAAATTACTATTAGAATATTAAAAATTGTTCTTATAGGTCGAGGTGGTTTCAGTGATCGTGGTGGTTATAATGATCACGGTGATTTTAATGATCGTGGTGGTCGAGGTTCTTTTGGAGACCGCGGTGGTCGAGGTTCTTTTGGAGACCGAGGCGGTCGAGGTTCTTTTGGAGACCGAGGCGGTCGAGGTTCTTTTGGAGACCGAGGTGGTCGAGGCTCTTTTGGAGACCGAGGTGGTCGAGGTGATTATCGTGGTGGACGTACCGGTGGTTTTAGAGATCAAAATGATAATGATTTTCGATCTAATTCAGAGAATAATGAGCCTGTTAAAACATTTAGTGGTTGGCCAAATGTAAAACCTACAGTAACGTCTTTCGAAGCCGGTGATCATTTTGTTGAAAAGGAAATTCCTAAAGAAGCATTTCAATTTGTTCTAAGTCATATTGAAGCATCAAATGATTTTTTTATACAATTATATTCTAAAGCAGATGAACTATCGACATTTAGTGCTACATTACAAGAAGAATACTCAAATGCACCTGAATTAAATTCTATTGAAGAAAACAAAATTTGTTTAGCTAAAAGTTCTGATCAATGTTGGTATCGTGCCGTTATTCTTTCAACCAGTTTAATAAAAACAAAAGTTCGTTTTATTGATTTTGGTGATACATTGGATGTGGATAAAAAATCTATAAAGCAATTAGAAAAAAAATTTTCCTTGTCACCTCCTTATGCTTATCGTTGTATGTTAGAAAATTGTCAAGGTAAATATTTTTCATAGATAATTCTGTTATTGAATACTTATTTTTTTATTTGTGGTTATAGCTAATGAAAATATGGATACAAATAAAGTAATTGAAAAATGCGAAAGACAAACATTTAACGGTAAAATTCAAAATAAATTATCCAATGAACAATATTGTCTTCAATCTGACGATTTAAAAAAATTAATGATTGATATTAATGCAATTAAAATAAAACAGGAAACAAATAGAAATATTAAATGTTCCATTGTGCATATTGATAGCAGTGAGTACGAACTTTATATACAAGATGATGAAGAAACAATGAAAAAGATTAATAATGAATTAACAATGGCAAAGGAAAACTTCTTAGATGATATTAAAATTAATTCAATGGTTATTTCAATCTATGATGATAAACCATCTCGAGCAATAATTCAATCAGATTCAGATGAGAATGAAAATGTTTGCCTTTATTTTGTCGATTATGGTACTACAAAGGTTTGTTCGAAAACATCATTAAAAGCCTGCAATGAACAATTAAAAGCATACCCGCGTCAAGCTAAACGATGTCAATTACATGATATTTCATCCAGTGTTGTAGATGAAACATTTAAATATCTAGATCAATATTTTAAATCAAATAATATAGAAATTTCTATTGTTAATCAATACAACGATCTATGTAATATTCTTCTTTATATTGATGGAGAATGTTTAAATGAAAAATTTAATCAAAAATCAATGAGTATTGATGAACATGAAGCAAATACTGATAATAACGATCAATCAAGTACAGCAACAGCTATAACTATTAAAGAACAAGAAAGACCTACCATTGCGACAGGAAAAAGAAATAGTGAAGAAATCTTGTCACCGGTTACAAATTTATTAAGTGCATCATTGAATATCAAAAGACAAAAGAGTGAATCAGAGCCAGAAGGTATGTATATGAACTCTATCATTTTGTGTATATTGAATCTGCCAAATTTTCATGGAAACAAGGTGTCTGTTGACTAATCAATTGACGTCATCGATAGAAACATTTAACCTAACCCAGAGAATTACGTACGAGCGTCAGTAACAACAGTCATGATATATTACTCACAGTTGTTTTTGTGTTCAGTATTATCCAACCCGAGAGGACATTAATTACCCTGTCATATGTACCGGTTCTGATATCTAGTTAATATGTACTCGTATGATATTATGAACATCATTTTTGTAAAATCTTTGTCTCACTATTACATAATCATACCTTCGTTGAAAGATTCTACTAATGATAAATAGTAGCATCACTTTAGATGTTTACAAGATAAAAGAATAGACTCACTCAAAAATTTGAATCATATTAATACGAACGAAACGGAATATTTGTATAACAGTACTTATTGTAGCAAATACCGATGTCATAATTCACATCATGCTAATGTAATCACTACCAACTAGCTACATCTAAAAATAGCATGTTCTCTTCTTACACTTTCTCGTTCGATTCTAGTAGTAGCTTTGATTTTTTTCTTCTAGTGAATCCAATTAAATATTGTTCGGCTATTCTTACACATCTTGATAAGAACAAACCAATCGTTTATCTTCAATTATTACCGGAATCAGAATCAATTCTTGCGCAAATCAATGATTTCATCGAAGTTATCGTTCAAGAAAATAAACAGAAATCTTCCTATGACATCGGTGATCATGTTATTGCTCAATTTACGGATGATTCAAATCATTATCGTGCTCGTATAGAATCTTATTCCGATGAAACGCAAAGTTATGCAGTTTATTTTCTTGATTATGGAAATCTTGATGAAAATGTTCCTAAAAATCATTTATATTCCTATATCGAAGAATTAACACAAATCGAACCTCAAGTTAATCAATATACATTAGAAAAAATTTCAAATCAAACATGGATCGATAAAGTTCGATCATTACTTGAAACTAAAGTAAATGATGACATTGAGTTTTATTTCATTGATAAAATCAATAAAATAATTCATATGAAAGTCGATAATGAAAATGAAATTTATAGTCAACCAAAAACATTTACTGCAAATATATCAGCTACTAATCATGATTATTTTTATATACATATATTACCTGATGCTAATACACTTGTTTGTGAAATGGATGAACTATTACAGACACACGATAAAGTACAAAATACATCAAAACCATGGTTAATTAATGATTTATGTATTGTCTATGATACTGAACTAAATCAATATTTTCGTGGTAAAATTCTTTCGATTGATAATGATAAATATGATGTTCAATATATTGACAATGGAAATGTTATTTTGAACGTAACGAATAATAATCTTTTCCTATTAAGTGATGAGGATCTATTAAAGCGATTGCCATTAGCAAGAAAATGTCGTTTATTTGGTGTTAGTAGTAAAAATCAAATAAAAGCAATTAAAGAAATTATTCAAACAATAAATCCAACTGAATGTGTTACAGTAACAGTGAACAATGACCAAAATGATCAATGTATGGATGTCATGTTATTTAGAGAAAGTCATGATATTATTAATGATCGTTATCAATTTGATGATGATGATGATGATGATGATGATGATGATGTCAAAGTAAGAGTTATTTTTTGTGTAACTTTTTTTAAATTTTATTAACAAAATCTTTTTTATTTAATGATAAATTCCTACATTATGAACTGCATAAGCTATTTTCATATTTTCTAATCGTCATACTTGTCAGTCAGTTAGTAATGTCAAGATTAGTTTTCTCGTTCGATTGCTATATCATAAGAAAAAACAAAATGACCAAGAAAAAAAGTGAATTTGACCTTGTGCACACTCTTAATTCGAAGTGATGCACAAAATATATGTAACAGCTGTTTTAAAAAGAATTAAAGAAGAAAAATCCAAGTGTTTAGATTTCATTTATACACAATATGTTCGACGAATGTCTGAATTATTTAAATCTATTGGTTATAGAAAAACAGTAGAGCTTATCTAGAGATAAATATATATATACTATTTAGTTTTTCAGTAAAAGGTAGCTATTATTGTAGTGATCGGATCGATAAGTACTTGTTAGCGTTACAATCCAATGAAAACAATCTCAAACTCGGATGAAACAACACGACCGTGCATATAGTTATCATCACATCGAGTGTACTTGAAAACAATGTGATTGTACGCATATGAGTGAATAGATTAGCTGCTAAAATATTTACTCAAAATCAGAAAATGCTATTGAATAATAACAAATGTAATGAAAACTTGTCCGACTGAGAAGTCGAACGAAGAAAAAAAATGGCCTATCCCTTTTTATCTAGACGTATATTTGATTGTTAGTATCCAATTATTTGAGCAGCTGAGAGCTTTTTTACCAGCAAAAGTACTCTTCGGTATTAGTGGAAAATATTCTGAAATTTTGTTTTGCGGAGTGGTTAATTTAAATGATGTCTTTAGGGAGGCAAAGTTTCTTGAACTGATTACGAAGTTCCACTGATACAAAACAGTTTTACTTTATAATGAACTTGTTCTTTAAGAAGCATTTCTTATCACTTTTTCTCTCAGTTCTACACAACTATTCTTTCTTTAGAACGATGAAGATGCTGATAGACAATGCGATATAGAAAGACAATCATCTGTTTCTGGTATGGGAGCTGATGATGGTGGATCAAATGGTGATGCTCTAACAGCAAAGAATGATCAAAATTTAATATCTCCAATTGGTATTCCTCAAGCTGAAAGTACACATCAATTTGGTGATTCATCGAATGTAACTGAAAGTAATCCCTCATTATCATCAACAACAATGAATCAAAGTATTGATTTTGGTGAAAATGATCCATCAACAACAATGAAAGATGATACTGAAAGTGAAAATTGATTAAATAAATCTGTGATAATCGTTTTGCCGGTTTTTTCTTTATTGTAATGCAAAACTTGTAATTATTGCAGTTGTTTATCCACTAAGCTTAAAAGATTTTGTTTTGTTCGTTTTCTTAAACTGTTTAAGTTATCGTGCATATGTCTTTCGCTTTGAATGTTTGATTTTTGTTTTGTTCCCGATGATTTGTTTTTTCTTCTTTCTTTCGTTTTAAGCAGCTAAACTGAAAACAAAGTTTAGTTAGTTTCAACTGTTTTTGTAGTTATGTTCGTTCTGTTTTCTTTATTTTAGAAATGAAATGTAGAAAAACAACATACGGTTCTATTGAAGAATAATTTTAATTATTTCATTAGAAGGCAACATTTATAAAGCTAAATTATTTTCTGTAGATTAACATAGGAAGTCCGGAGCACAACGAAGTTCAAAATGACTTTTTCTTGTAGTAGCACATTTACAATCGTTTGATGGAGTCTAGCAAGATTTTTAGTTTATTCTTATTTATCTTAACTTGGACAACTAAAACAATATCGTTGAAAAGAAACCTTGAGCACTTGAATGATGCTGTTTATCAGGAGCTTTTTCGAATATCGCTCTCATAATTACTGTAATTTCTAATTCAAGCTCTGTGAATTATACTGCACTATTGAAACTGATCTATTGTTTCAGTCAAAAAACGGATTACTTATTTCATTTGTGATTTCTTGAATATCCCATAGAAATATATATATGCATACTGAAAAATATTGCATTTGATTTCTAGTGAAATGATGAGTAGAGCAGTTTGTCTTTTTGGCATTTTGAAATTCTGATGTTATAGAGAAATCAAGTTTGTTCATTCGAAAAGAAATACGCCTATTGGTTATGCACATAATCCTTTTGCGTGTAAGCGTCTGAAGTAATAATTTAAGATCGATTTGAATTTGAAAAATGAATGTATCAACAACTGCAAGTGCTCTATATAGCACTCATTACACATTTTTCATAAATGATCAATATTGGATTTATTGAAGAAAGAGAATGTTCAGTGAAAATTCTTAATATATGTATATATATGAAACATTGAGTAGATAAAATGTAGTAATACAACGATCTCTATCAAAGCCATTTATATCGATTAGTCCGATACATGCTCTACATATGAATAGTTATTATCGTGAGATTTGCTCTCAGACAAACTTCAGAGTTATAATTAAGACCGGTCTCGGATATAGAGTTTAAATCAAGATGATGTGGTGTCGTACGAAGAGATCTATCGATAATGAAACTATTATTTTGATATTTCGTCAATATATCATTACATGAATGTTTGACTCAAATTAGCTAAAACAAAAACCTCATGCTTCACAAAATAATCAATACGAATCAAAAACGATAACGATGACTATTTCGTAGACATCAGCAGTTCATAATCAACCAGCTAGAGCAATATCGATGTAAAAAAAACTTGAAATATTTTCTTTTGTAGAATAATGTTTATATTTTAAGCATGATCAAAAAATCTTTTTTTCTCATTGAACATTACCAAAACTATAATAGAAATTCTTCAAAGTAGCTTTCAAAGAGCTTTAAAAATTTGTAAAGTTTAAAAATTGATCGACCTTGAATTGTAATAGATATGTCCAATACAATTTTTATGATTGAACCGAAACAGTTAGATACAGCATGAATTCAATCAGCAGCTGCTAACAATTAAGAAAGACCAAATAAACTTGATATGAGGAAGAGACACGATGTTATTTTATTTATTTTGGTGAAAATTACCAAAATCATTATTTTAGATTTCTTCAACGTATTTCTTTGATAACAGACATTTTCTGCAATATTATGTTAATTCAATAATTACGCCAGTTGATAGCTGCATCGTGCTTTACTCAATACACTAGGCACAATTATTTTTTATCCACTGTTTTACCTAGTTGTCTTGTAGATTGAGGGTGTGGGTGTGGGTGCGGTTGGACAGAAGATCAACAGTCTCATCCATATCCACACCCACAGCACTGAAGTTTCATATGAGGAAGGAGTTAGAGCCTCTGCACTTCAATGACCCATTTTTGGACCCTAAAAAATGACTCATTGTGTTGTACTTGAAACCCTTGATATCTCCGCCACACTCCAACCGTTTGATTTTTGGTGGTCTCATTGAAAAGAGCAGTCAATCAGCTATAACAGATCCGTCCTCTTTTATTTCCACACTGCCATTACAGAAGATATACATTTTTTATTCTTCAGGACTTTGGGGACATTCTGCATGAGAATAGTTTGCTTTTAATGAGGAAGCTTTTGGAAATATCGCACAAATCTTTTTTTGTTCATTCAGTATAAAATTACGCACACTATACACGTAACCAGCTTTATCGAGTAACGCTTCGAAGGAATGATGACAACGAAAAGGTCAACAATGAGTATCTCTCTTTTTACCTTGCTGTAGCAGACTGATCTTTCTCGTTCCTTATCTCCATCTTGGGAGACAAAATGTGCCTTTATTAGATGAATGTGGTGATGAACTAGTGGACGGTAGTTGAAACATGATATATCTTCACACTGATAAGCCCAAGGTTTTCTTTCACTGTCTTTTCGCGCGTGCAACAGACATGACAACTTTTGTTCAATGCACTAAGGTCTTCATTCTGTTGCCTAAAAGAAAACTATAGAACCATTTTGATTTAGTTGCTTACTGGCCATGGTACGCACAACATCTGAATTTTACTTGCAAAACATTGTGTAAAATATAAGGCATGACTCATCGCTAAATTCTCATTTAAAAAAGACATAAACTTGAAACTGCCGATGAGAGATAAGATTCTTGGTTACTTAAACCCACCTTCATACACACCAAGAGGAACATTTGAATTATTGTCGTTAAAATGTTAATAACTCCTCTGTTGTTGCTTTGTGTTGCTATTTGTTTGTCGCCTACGGCATCGGTCATAGATGATTCAAAAGCAAATTTTCAACCTCAAGTGACACTGAGAACATGGGAACAAGCTATTGCCATGGCTAAATCATTTATTGCTCAATTGACGTTACAAGAAAAATGCCATTTAACAGCAGGTGTCCGTGGGACATGTGCTGGTAATATTGCATCGCTACCACGTGTCAATTTTAGTGGCGTCTGTCTTCTAGATACACCATCAGGTGTTGGTGATGGGGTTTTATATTCAACTGCATTTGTAAGTGGCATTCATATAGCAGCGACATGGGATCGAGATTTGTTTTATCGACGTGCTGTTGCAATCGGAAAAGAATTTCGAGGCAAAGGTGTCAATTATGCACTTGGCCCTATGGTGAATATAGATCGAAATGCTCGACATGGTCGTAACTGGGAAGGATTTGGCTCGGATCCATATCTTTCAGGTGAGAATGCATTTTTCTACACTCAAGGTGTTCAAGACCAAGGTGTTGTTGCAACAGCAAAACATTATATATGTAATGAGCAGGACACGCATCGCAGTGGTGTCATGAAAGATGCTAATGATGCCGTAGTTTACTCAGCCAATCTTGATGATAAAACTATGCATGAAATTTATCTTTGGCCGTTTGCATCAAGTGTTGTTGCTGGAACAGGCTCTATTATGTGTTCAGCCAATGAAATTAATGATACGCGAGCTTGTCAAAATAATAAAACACAAAATGGTTTGTTGAAAGGAGAATTAGGATATATGGGCAATATATTGACGGATTGGATGGGATCAAAATCAACAGTCGATCCAGTTTTATCAGGATTAGATATTGATATGCCAGGTAACGATGAATATATGGGTTATACATTAGTACCATTTGTTCAAAATGGAAGTATTCCTGAATCAAGAATTGATGATATGGCCACACGCATTATCGCACCTTACTATCTTGTTGGACAAGATCAAGATTATCCAACGGTTGATCTTGACCGTGATACCATGGAAAATAACTATATAATTAATCGAGAAGCCAGTCGTGCTGGTATGATATTACTAAAAAATGTCAACAATATATTACCATTAAATTCTTCCGTCAATACAAACATTTATATCTATGGACAAGCAGCTGGTCAAACGAATTGTGGCCTTGAACAAACATCATGGAATGCAAACTGTGGAGGTGCATTATATCAAGGTGGTGGTTCAGGCTTTGTTAGACCAGCCTATGCTATAGATCCTCTCACTGCACTGATGCAAAAAGGTCGAGATGATCGTCTTCAAATTCGATATATTACCAATCAAAACGATTTTGTTGCCATTAATAGTACATTCAGAGATCGTGGTTTTCAAAATGCTAAATGTCTTGTATTTATTAGTGCTTGGTCGGAAGAAGGAATAGATCGAACCGATCTATATGCTTTTGATAATGGTGAACAACTTGTTCTAACTGTTGCTCAAAATTGCCGACAGACTATTGTTCTTGTTAACAGTGTCTCACAACTAAATCTTGAACGGTGGGTTGATCACCCAAACGTCGTTGGTGTTCTCTGGACTGGTATGCCTGGCTCTGAATATGGACCTGCTGTTGTCGATATTCTCTTTGGTGATTATAATCCAGGCGGAAAGCTTGTCTTCTCACTAGCCAAAAATGATTCCGACTTCGGAACTGATATTAGCCCAACAGGTGACTCAAATTATACAGAAGGTGTCTTCTTAGATTATCGTCATTTCGATAAATACAATATTACGCCAAGATATTATTTTGGGTATGGTCTTTCATATACTAATTTCTCGTTTGATAAACTTCAAATTTCACAAGCAAACGATGATGATAAAAACTCTCCAGTATCATTATATAAGCAACGTCGAATGAGACCTTATAATAATTTTGGTCATTCGGGATTATATGATCCTGTTTATACAATTACATTTACTATTAAAAATACTGGTAACTACTATGGATCAGAAGTAGCACAGTTATATCTTGGTTTTCCTGTTCAAGCACAAGAACCACTGAAAATACTACGAGGATTTGAACGAGTCTATTTAGAGCCCAATGAATCAAGAGAAGTTACATTAGTATTATCACAAAAAGATATCTCTTATTGGAATGTAGTCAATCAACAATGGGCAATAGCTTCAGGCACACATACAGTATGGATATCAATATCTGCCAACAATGCTGATATTAAACTTCAAGGTTCCTTTAGTGTCTAAATTTATGTATATGAACTTCGATAGATTAATTCGTTGTTTTTTTTTCAGATGATTTGTTTTATGCAATAATAAGTTAAAATGGGCAGTGCGCATTTTTTTTGTTCTCTCTCCCCCGGTCAGAGAAAACGATCAGTAAACGGTCGTATACGGCACAAATACGGCCTGTTTTACGTGCCGTATTTTCCCCGTATAACAGGGGCAGTAATTACTGCCCCTGTTAAAACGCCTTAATACGGCTTAAAACGGCCGTTTTACGGCGGAATACGGTGCAAAAACGACCGTTTACGGTAATATTACGCCGGTTTATGGTGGTCCGTTTTGATCGACCTGGGTCGATATATTTCTACATTTTTTGTCCATTAATAAGACTAAATATGTAATATCTTGTAAAGGTTAATATGGACCTCTATTAAATCACTAACTGATCATTATTACAATCTCGTAATGATATTAATATTTGTTTCTCATTTTGCACTACATAATAATGTTTATTAAAAGTAACTAGTCGAAACCGATTGGTAACCGGAGTTAACCATTGGTTTTATGAGAGAGAGAAAGCGACGTAAAATTACAGGTAATAATACGAAAAAGCTAGCTGTCACGGAAAAAGTATCTTGAGGGGTGTGGACGAGTTTAAAATGTAACTACCACGACACGTGTTTCATCCCAATTATAAAATTAGGAAAAGAATTGTCAAGTGGAAGGTAGTAGAAATATCTGCATAATAAAAATCTATTTAAAATCAATTCTTGAAAAAGATCAAATTGAGGGTGATGATGAGTATACAAACTAACTACCACGATCCCAGAATTTCGATCTTATTGAAAGATCAATCTTCAGGTGGATAGAATTCGTCTACATATAAATAAATCTCAAATATAATCTGATAAGACTGATTGATAGATTACATTCATTGTTTTAAAGATTTAGACTAACTGAATTGCATTATATGCGTCGCGAAGATAAGCGGAAACGAAATATAATTGAAAATGTACACTGCTAAAGGTTTGTACATGGTTAGTTAATAATGAACCTTGTGGATATGGTCTGTAAGTTTAGTTGTATCATCAGTAGATGGTTTGTATATCTAAAATGAAATGCGTATAAGATAAGTATGGTTTGTATGGCATTCGGTAGTAGAATAAGATGAAATACGACGTGAAATACTTTTGGAGTGATTTGCTGTTTTTCTTCTATGGAAAATGTTTTTTATGTTTTCTTTTTCAAGATAAAGGTGCACAAATATGCAATGACGAAGAAAGTAGGTAAGTATTCTTTGAAACTTACTGCACTGTCCATTAATAGCGTTTGTTTTGTTCGAACGAGGTACAACAATTTCTACGAAGAATGCGTGTGAAATTGCAGAGGAAAAATGTAAGATAAAAACGAAATTCATAAGAAAGAAATTTAAAAAAGAGTAGTTGATTATTCTTATGCAGTTATAATCTATCTTTTATATATATATATATATCGGGTGTCCCAGGAATAATGAGCCTCTCAGCATTTTACCAATATCTCCATCAGTTTTCGTCCCACAGATTTAACTCTTTTCACCAAAAGATGCCTCGTTCAGTTCTCTACAAAACCGTGTAAAACGTTTTAATGTAAAAAGGTATCGTGAAAAATTCTAGGCTACATACTACAAGACACCAAACTGACGGATTTTGAAAATTTGTTTTGCCAATTTTTATTATGTTAGCGGCGGTGAGATGTGCGGTATACAGAAAAACTGAATGAGTGATTGTGTAGCCCTAGAAAAACTTTCTTGATGGGAATTAAAAACTCCATTCGACACTTTAGTTCTCATACAGCCAAGCTTTTTTTTTTCCACATATTTCGAATTTTTCGGCAGGGCTTTGGCGTTACTTTGGAAAATTCCGACGCCTATGTCCTAAACTAACTTTATATGCTAAATTATTGTTGCTCATTTTAGGGCAAATGATTAGCCTACCAAGCCTATGCAATGGCCTGTATATATTCTTTGCTTTGTATAAAAATGTGGCTTGATAAAACGGATTTCGACGATTTCACGTTATTTTGTAAGACATATGACCATTTGTATAGTACTATCCTGTTCAAACGACCTACATTAAAGATCATGAGAACGAAGATATTAGAAAATATCGAAAAGCAGGGACGAGCACAACTAGGCGCCTGCCAAATCATAAATAAAAGATAATTATTTTTTGAAAAAAACGTAGTTACAAAACTCATCATTTTGGTGTCTTGTAGTCTGTAGCCTAGAATTTTTCACGGTTCCTTTTTACATTAAAACGTTTTATACGGTTTTGTAGAGAACTGAATGAGGCATCTTTTGGTGAAAAGAGTTAAATCTGTGGGACTAAAACTGACGGAGATATTGGTAAAATACTGAGAGGCTCATTATTCCGGGGACACCCGATATATATAAAACACCCTCTTGAGATGGAAAAGAAAAAAGGTTTTGTTTTTGTTTTTTAGTATTTTTTTGCAATTTATTGGCTAGTTTCAGTCAAATTTTTATTAGACTTCATCAGAATCTAGAAGAGAAAGAAAAGAAAAGGCGTTACTTGAAACTGAACGCCTGAAACCGTGTAAGACGGTATAGGTATGAGTGATGTATATATGGGTGAGAGCGGACTTTAAAACATATCGAAATATTTGAGTGTTTTCTTTTCAAATTTTCAGAAACATTTCAAACTGAATTAGGAGCTTTTAAAAGGCAACTGACGCTCAAAGTCAATACTAACATATGTTTGTATCATGTGTTAGTAGTGTGTGTTAGGTGAAACAAAAAAGTTTCTTTTTATTAGGCTTCTATCTGAACCGTGTTTGTGAAGTCTATTACGGCTTTCACAAAAAAAGAAACATGAGAAAACTAGCTGGTCTCAATGACCACGCTAGTGTAAAAACGGGACAGGGGGCCTGACGGGCCCATATTATCGTAATACGGACTGTCCAGGTAGCCATGAGTAGGCTATCTTCATCGCCATCGTTGTCCTCATTGTCGGTAAGGATAACGCCGCCGACATCGAGGACGCCAGCTATTGCTGGATTGCTGCTGGAGATTATGCGTTCCATGATAAATCGTGTGTAAGGTGTGATGGTCGATGGTTTTGCAGGTTGCAGGGATGTTGGTGTAGCTTCTGGGGGCGGTCCCGTATTTAAAATACGAGTGATCGTGGATGGAGATGGCAATGGAGAAGTACGTGGAATCGGCGCGGTTAATGCTCGATTAACTTCGAGTAGCATCTCTCTCCGCTCTCTCCGAGCAACCGTTTGACTTGAACCTGATCCCGCTGGTTGTGCTTCGTGTCTTACCAGGGGATCGTGCCGATTGTTCAATCGCTGGGTCGAAAACTGTCGATGGTTTCGTATCGGTCCGGGTCAATGAACCGATTGTCTAGTATTATCTGTATTCAGAAATTGGTTCATAGTCCCGTGCCCGAAGAAACCATAGCCTACGGGTCTACTGTCTCTACCAGTACGAGGCACGGGAAAATCCATGACGAATCCGCTTAGTGCTTCTTGTGATCGATTAGCCACAAAAAAGTCGCCGCCGGGAATCCACATAGCTTCTCCCGTACGTTCGCACGCGTAGAGACAGAAAGACCCATCGAGACCATTATGTAAAATGGTGGTCCGTCTCCAGACAGTCCCTGTGGGACCATTCAGGAGAGGACCCCCATTCGCGATAGAACTTCCTCCGGAGAGAGAGCACCGGAGAATGGAATCAGGGCCGTTAAGACCACATCATCCGCTTCTCCAGCATTTATAGCACCTGGTTCATTGATATGTGTAGACATCTAAAATTAAAATACAGCAAAACAATTTGTTGGTGTCAATGAACATAATTTAAGAATGTCATGTTACTGTCATGTAGGTTTATTTATAGCTGCTAAATTTCATGAAATGTTCTTGTATTTATCCAATATAATCTAATGAAAATGTCCTTGTAACGGGTGTTCCACAAAGAATGACTACTTTTTCTTTCATGATTTTCCTACACATACTTTACTTGGGCGACTTCTTTTTTTCCTTGCTATGATCGCTTCTCGACCCTCTCTAGAATGGAGGGTTCACCTTTTGAAGGCTTGAATGGTTCTGTCAGTTACAGGACCATTCGTCGGTGGTGCAGAACAGTGAGAGAGCAAGGCTCTATCAGTCTGTCATACTCACCCGGTCGTTCACGCATTACTAGAACTAAAGCAATGATATAAAAGGTGAAAAACCGAATGAAACGTAAAAAGAATGTGTCAATCAGAAAACTTGCTAGTGAACTGGATATTTCTAATGGATCTGTTGTCAGAATCTTGAAACAAGATCTAGGATATGATTCATACAGAAAAAGAGTTGAACCAACTCTTACAGACTACGATAAGCGTAAACGAGCGACATTTCCGAACTGGGTGCGGCATAACTTTCGTAAGGAAGACACCTTAAGAATCCTCTTCTCCGATGAGAAGACGTTTGATCTTGATGGCATCTACAGTGCTCAGAATGATCGAATATGGGCAGTAGATCACGATGAAGCCGGTAAAAAAAGGTGGTGTCAAACAAAAACGAAAGTTCCCACAGAAGGCAACGGTTTGGCCAGGAGCATGCGCCAAAGGATTGACACAATTGATCATTCTGGATAAGGGAACGGTGGATCATCAAAGATACATCAATGAAGTGTTTTCGGTGGCTTTAAAAAATGACCACGAAGTTTTTGGCGATAATTGAATCTTCCAACAAGACGGCGCGAAGCAACATGCACATGCTGCGATGCAAGAATGATATCAAAAGAATGTTTCATCATTCATCGGCAAAGACCATTGCTCACAAACTCACCAAATCTCAATCCTTTGAACTATTCAATATGGGATGAGTTTGGTCAGCAAATCAACTGGGCCAAGGTTACATCGAAAAAGATTCTGATCGATCAATTAAAGCAAAGTTTAAGGAGAATAAGAGACTCCATCGTGTCGGAAAGTTGTAAAACTTGGACCAACCGTTTGTATCGCTTGCCCAACAACAACAGATATTATTTAAAATAAAACTTACACTGAGTTTTGTAGAGCTCAGCAAGGCGAATCTTTTAAAACGAGATTAGTTTTCTAGCACGAGAGATATGCGAGTTGGATCAAAAATACGAAGTGGCCATTCTTTTTTGGAACACCTGTTACTTATCCAATGTAATTCATCCGAAAAGACAACAGAGCTAAATCTTCTAAATGAATATGTCCTCCTATCCGATGTATAGCAATGTACGAAAACGTTGCTAAACATATGTTACGTATCCTATCGTTTTCGACAGATGTACCTAGCATCCGATATAAAATAAAATTATTTCTATCCATATATTACTATATCGACCGTGTGAATCATTTCTTTATTCTTTTCTCTTTTCTTTAATGAATGGAATATTGACATCCCGTTTTCTCCTTTGATGACTACCCCGTAGTGAATCACCAGAGAACAATTTCTTCTGAATATGAAGCAGCTAAAACTTTGATTTTTTTCTCTTTCATACCAAGAATGTTTATTTAAAGAAAATTATATCTAAATAAAAATTATCAGCTGCTCTCCTTTTATAATCCTCCGATAACGAAGCAGAGACTTCCGATAATGAAATACACACTATGAAAAGTCATAAAAGACAAAAACGTTTCACGAAAACATGAACTGATACACGAAACAATGGAGTCAATAGACAAACTAGAACGACAACAGAAGTTCGTTTGAATAGTGAACATGTCGTGAAAAATAACAATAGAATCGTGCCAGGACATAACCAGCGGGCGAAAAGATGTTTCCAACTCAGAAACAGAACAAGACATCAATGCCTCGAGTGAAAACGATCAAGGCACAGAAGATTCACCACCGATAAATAATAAGCAGAGAACTAAAATACTCGCTTATCTAAAAGATCGAGTGAACGCCGACAGGAAAATAAAACTTGATTTTAAAGACGCTTTCAATGGTGTACGTACTTATGCAAAAAGCACAGTTGGTGCGTACGATAATTTGGTATGCAACCATTATGAAATTCAGATCTGGTAACACTTCTACGATTTAGGTAGAAATACAAACCAATGGGCTAAAGAAATAGTCACTATGACACGTACACGGGAGGCTAAGTCGAACATAAGACTGTGTGAAAAGAAGATTTCACAGTTTACATCGGCATGTTTTGATGCGAATAACATTATCACACGAGATATGAGAGATTTTTCGTCTGATTAAACATACCAACAGCAGGTGTGGGTGTCGTATACCTTACATCTATTCATCCTCACCCTCACCCTCACCCACACCCACACCCACACCCCATATTGTTTCTTGTGCAAATTTGTTCTAACTGCAACTCTTCGTTGAGGTCTTCAAGGCACCAGGTGCAAATTAAGGTGTGTGAATTTCTGTGTTCAAATAGACGAGAAAGCCATATGGTATAGAATAATAAGTACAGTATTCTTCGCATCCTCCGTACTGTTAGTAAGTCATGCATATTCTCATCGCAGCACTCTAGTTGCTAGCGTATTTTCTGAATTCTCTATGTTTGTATCGAATACTGGAATTCGTTTATTTCCTCTTATCATCAATCCCACAATTCACATGAAGACTCTTTTTTTTATTTAAGTCATAAAATATACCGACAGTATGCAGTTCTCTTGAAGCACATTCAAATAGAAAAAGAAAATAAATTTTTTAAAATTTCTAGTAGTAACAATAAGAAAAACATGTATCACGTATGCAGAGAATATTATTGTTTTGTGACAAGAAAATATCGCAGAGGAGTTGTTCTTCATGTCTGATACACTTATTTCTTGAACAACTATTCAAAAAATTAGTGGGTTTGGGGTGTGCGTGCGGGCCAAGAAAAGAACAGCGCCCACACCCACACCTTCAAGATTTGTTATATTGAATAATCAATTATACCACCTTTACAGATGTCGCATAATAACGAAAGAAAATGTAATCTATTTTTCATTTTCATTAAAAAACATTCTGTTTTAAAAACGGTACAATTCTTAAGAATTTTGTTCACATACTTTTGTTGCATGAAGTTAATAGACACGGAAGACGACGTAGATCTATTTATAATGCAATATTATAGTCAGCAATCATACATTTTATAGAACCATTGAAGCGGAGCCGTGACTAACTGGTAAACACAAAACTATTTTGTGGAGATGGATCGTTTAGAAAACATAACAGAATTTGTTGTTGTTTCAAATTTGGAAAATCGTGTTTTAAATGCTGCAATAAGTAAAGGTCAAGATTGGTGGAAACATCGTCGCGATCACAATCAACCAAATCAACCAAACCAGCCAAATCAGTCAAATCAGCCAAATCAACCAAATCAGCCAAATCAGTCAAATCAACCAAATCAAGGCAATGTACCACAATCAATTCCTCAAACTAGTGCACCAACGCCCATAGTTGGCGTTCCTGGTTACCTTACAATAACTATTCTTCGCGCAGAAGATCTACGTGAACCACCATTATCCATGATTAAAGCATCTATATCATCATCGGATCGTCCTTATGTTATTGTTGAATGCAATCAACAGCGTTTTCAAACGTTGCAAGCTGATTCAAATTCTTCAAATCGCCATCCACAATGGACTTCTGGCAATGGTCCATTTGGTTTTAATATTTTTAATCCATATACTGATCATTTAACTGTTTGGGTTCAGGGGCAAGATCCACTTCGTATTATCAAAAATGACAAAGTAAAGATATTAGGAATGTGTGAGATGAATGTTAGTCGATTGATTGGCGAAAAACAAATGTGGCTACCATTAAGAGACGGCAACAAACCGGCTGGACAACTTCTACTGCAATGTGTTTTTAGGCCTAGTGAAAGACCGCCACCACCGTATAATAACTACTATGAATTTTAAAACGGTTTGGTATACAAATTTGTGCATGTCCTCTTTTTATTTATCCTTTCTAAAATTTAATTGTCATATGCAACCTTTCAAAGTAATATTTTATTTCGTAATTAATTTCAACAAAAGCTTGCTTAAATATATTATATAATTATATCCATTCGTATCAATAATAAAAGTCACATTCGAACATGATCATTGATATAAATGATGTTAAAAGTAATTCAATGAATAAATTTTGAAGGAAAAATCAATCGTTTACTTTATTCTGTCATTAGAGATGTACGTCAATTATATGAAACGGCATCGCCAATCTAAGGTGTATTCTCAAAGTTCTGAAACGACCTTAAAATACAACTTTTTACATTTCACAGAAACAAACTTTTCAGAACTTTAATAGATTATTCCATTCAGTTACTTAAGAGAAAACGATCTCATCTGTTTACTGCTTTTTGTACTCACAATAGACTCATCAGACGACTTCAAAAAATTCTTCTTGTTTCTTTTGTTGTTGTTTCTTTTTTATTGAATTTTCCACAGATTCGTAGATATTTACTGAAAAATTAAATAATACAGCTTCGTTAATAGATAGATCTAATGATTCTTAGAATATTTTGAAATTTTCAGTGAAGCATAATGGGTCTCTATCAAGATATGAAATTTGCAAACGCTACTCAATTTTCATAGAGCCATCAGAAAAATTGAACTCATGTGAAAATCTAATACATGAGCAAAGTAACATTCGTTTCTTTCTTCGGTTAAAAATTTCAAAATATTCGTAGAATTATTAGAAATCTTGTTGGGCAAAATTTCAGATCAAAACTGCATTATTTGATTTTCTTGAAATCCATCTTTTGACCAAAATACTATTTAGATAAAATTAGCCCTTGCAAAAGTAGTTACAGTTTTACTTTGGTAAAAGTTAAATTTTAATGTGACAAAATATACTTTGTAAAGAATTGTTCACTCTACAAAACTGCTAAATTGAACTATGTTAAGTAGCTTTGAAAAGAGATTTACAGAAGTCACAAATATCTGTTTGTTGTTCATTTTGCAGTAATTTTTCAGGATCTTCAAAAATATTTTCATACTACTCTAGGACAAAAGTAGATATGTGATTTCTGAATCCAAGTTCAGAAAAATTACAAAATTTTAGTCACAACTCCTGATTTGTCACTCAACTAGAATACGGACACGAAAGTAAGAAAAATGACACACATTGCTTCAGAAGACTTTTGAGAAACAGTCAAATCTCATGCAATGATACCCTGAGATAACATAAGGACCGTTACAGTTGAAACATAGCGAGTGGTTTAGAGAAAATGAGTCAACTTGTATTTCTGAATTTTCTCTGTATTCTCAACATTTTTTCCTAATTTTTTTTAACCAAACGATGACTCATGAAACTCTTTACAAAAATATATAAGAACGCTTAATTTTAAATGTGAGTACAAAATATCGGAGAAAAAAGATTATAAAACTGTAACATGTCCGACTTTCTAGCAAAAAACATTTTATTTGCTGTCTGGTCGTTACTTTGCGACATCATAATAAACAAGTTTAGCCATTTGGTAGAACTTGGAAAGTTCTATCTATTAGACGTATTCAAAAGCTCCCAACAGCATAGTACAAAGCTCAAAATAAAGTTTTCTTTTTCCGAATTTTGCAAAAGTTATGTATGTGGACAAATCTTCTCCGCAAATTCAAGAAAATGCGTATACTCAGATCAACGAATCATTTTTTGAGCTTTGCTTTATGTTATCTTAAAGAAAAATAATTGGTGTATCAGACTAAAACTTCAAACACAGGAACGTTTTTTGATTTAAATGAAACGAGCAACTATAGCCAAATTTTGATCATTTCAAACTCAGAATCAATAGACTGTTCTGCTGAGTTATAATATTTGGCTGAAGAAACTTCGCTCTATGCCACGAAAACGAGTAAAGTTTATTGTACAAAACATTTGCTTGATCGATTTCTTAATTTGCAAAACCATGGAAAACAATCTAAAGTTTTTCAGAAAAAAGTACTTAGGAAAGTCGGACATGATAGAATGTCATAATATTTTTTCTTCAATATTTTGGCTTAGCATTTGAAATTAAGGGTGTGGGTATGGGTGTGTGTCTGGGCACGGATGTCTGTTATTCTCTCACACCCTACACCCTTTTAATTGGTTCATCAAGGATTTGCCGAATTGTAGTTGAAAATTGATTGAATTTACTGATTGCTTCACCACGAATTGTCTTTCGACCCCAGGTCAAACAGTCCGACTTGGAAACGACCGGTTTCGGGTAGTTCCGTTGATTTTGTGGAAGCAGTACCCTGGTTGGAAATTTTTCGGGTTTTTTTCCGGTGATTTCCGATCAATTCCTGCAGGAAAGCGTCGGAACTTGGCAGGTATCCACGGGAAAAGTCCGGCCGTATTTTTGACCAGAATACTGCTACATGTTCCAGCGATTTCCTGCAAAATATGGTTGTGCCGATATTGATGGCACGCTTCGATGATTCTCCTTCCTCTTCCTTCCATTCTCTTTCCATTATTATAATATATCTCTCTCCTGTCTCTCTTCTATCTCTCTCCTATATATACGTGTGTTATGTATGAAGTTGTGACACTCTGGATATGTGAATAAACGAATAAACATCATTGCCGTGAGTGGCTGTAAGCTACTCCATCTCTATCCAGTTTGTCCTTACGATATTATCTCAAAAGAGTCTTATTAATCGTTACAATGGTGACTTTCCCGCATATTTCCTGGAGTATCCTACGGGATCCAGTGACCAGAATCTTCGACCTGGGACCATAAAAAATATCAAGAACATTCATTTTATCTACTTGGGCACCAATATCAATGGCAGTTTGCACCAAATCAAGGACACCGCCATTTTCAACAGCATTAAATGAATGACCGCCAGTTGTGATAAATTTGAGCTCTGCATCTTTGAGTTTCTTTTTGTAAATGTTCACTCAATTGGCTTTTTTTGTATGCAAAACGAGGCATAAGTGTTTGAACAGGGACCGATTCTTTCGATGCTACACCTGTTGTCGTCGAAGTTGTCATTTTGCTAGAGCGCGGGTGGCACTCCTTAACATGTGCATGCAATGAAGTCAAGCCGGAGTTTTTTCTTTTTTGAAAAGCAGCTTTCTTTGAATGAGTTCGATATGCGACTAAAAAATCTTTGCAAGCAGCCCACCCATCGAATATTTGCTGTTTGCCACCATCGCCGATGATGCCCACCAGAGAAATATCGTTTATCCAAAGTTCATGAAGCACCTTCAATTTGTGCAACAAAACGATTTCTTTGGCTCGTAATTTATGCTGTATCTGTCCCGAGTTTAAATTATCAGAATCAATCATATTCGAAAATAGTGAAGAAATGATTTCTAATGAGATTATTTTTCACTTAGAGAGAAAATGTTCAGTTCAAAATAGAACAAGTGCACCATACACAGAATAAACAAACATACATCACTAACCAGACGGTCGAAAGAGAGAGAAATAAAACAAGACAGAAATAAATATCGCTGCTGATTAAAACAAAATTTATTGACCAACCACATTGACCTGCTGTCGCACTTTCGTTGATTTCTCTTTACTGTAAAAGAAAATGAGATTTATTGCTTATTTTTATGATTACAATCAATACTTCTTCTGAACTGCAAAAATTTCTGCATCATCGACAGTTTCGTAAGGCCCTATATGTATATATATTAATAGCACAATTTCGTTATATCTACTTCAAAGAAAAGCCCATGAAACAATTTTTAACAAAAATAGAGCTAAACGAAGATAGTTATTTTTAAATTTCAACCGGTGATTTTCCGGTATTTACCGGCCCGGTTGAATTTCTAAACCGGTTCTGTCTGGACCGGTTCCAGCGCTGATAGCGATAATCACGTTTCTAATGAATTTTAAAGTTTTTTTGCATAGTTTGAACTACTTCAAGACACTAATTCATAGCGATTAATTCAAAGCCATTCCTAGCCATTCGAATGGCTCGGAATGAATTGAATATGTGAACAGACGTAGTTGATCATTAGTATGCATGATTGTTAGGTTGACAAATTAAGAGAGATTTACAACTATGTATTATCTCTCAGCGCTTTCTTTTGCTTATAAAAAGTTTAGCATTTGAATAAGGCTTCGAAAAAATTGAAATTCTGTCTGTGTAAGACACTAAACCTCTAACGTTGACTGAATTCCAGTTTCAACCTCAACATACAAGTATATTTTTTGTTGCTAACATTTACATTACAAGCAAGTCACTTTCGAAAACAAATATAAGATCTTTTTCTTCGGAAATTGTAGTCTTCCGAGAAAATATGGAAATTTCTAAAAATGTTTCGAGTTCAGCCCATGATATATACAATCTTACTAAGAAAGCCGATTATAGGCAATAGTAATATGCAACTAGATATGAACTTATAATATCAAGTTCTTTACTAAAACTAGAGTAAAATGTAAAAACTAAATGCAATATATCAGTCGGGTCGATAAGTACTTTAAATATAGTTGTTAGCGTTACAATCCACACGCCAACAATCTCAAAGTCGGATGAAACAACTCGACCGTGCATATAGTTATGAAATCGAGTGTACTTGAAAACAATGTAATTGTACACATATGAGTGAATAGATTAGCTGCTAAAATGTTTACTCAAAATCAGAAAATGTTATTGAATAACAACACACATTATTTTATTTGTACAAATACTGTCATAAGTGTAATGAAAACTTGTAATTATTGTAGTTGTTTATCCACTAAGCTTAAAAGATTTTGTTTTGTTCGTCTTCTTAAACTGTTCAAGTTGTCGTGCAGATGTCTTTCTCTTTGAATGTGAGATTTTTATTTTGTTTTCTTTCTTTCTTTCTTTTCTTAATTTCAGGAAAAATAAGATGATGAAAAGAAAATTCTGCTGTATTGTGCAATAGGGAGACACAATATACTAAACTAAATTCAATTTGTAATCGATTAACATATAAAATCTTGAACATTTAATAGTGATGGGTGTGACGTTTCTAATCGCTCGCATTCTCTCCATCATAAAAATATCATTTTTAGTGCATATGCAAACAGTTTCAAAGACTGTTTACATTACTTTTTGATTAATTACGAATGAATGCCTGCTGCACATGACTAGAAGTGTGTTTTTTCAGAGAGACTTTTCATGTAGGGAGACTAGAGTAATTGCTTTTTGTCAGGTCACTATGCTAGTTTTTCCGGCTTCCATCAGTAAATGTCTGATTCAATAGAGCTTGTTATTATATGAGAATTATCAATATGACGTATAGCGTGTGAACTAGAATGGATCGAACTAATTGTGAACGCAAGTTTTTCTCTTACTTTACTATTCATAGAAAACATATCTAAATTATAAGAGACGAATTTTCAATCTCTACTAGACTTTGCACTTTACGTTTACAAAAAATTGTAACATTCATATATAAAACTAATATCCTGTGGTAAACTTCATAGGCAATGTAGAATAAATCATTTTGATGCAATAATCGAGCTTTCAAAAATATAAACAGGATAACAAGAATTCAATGTGCACTATTTATTGAAGCATATTCATTTTTTCATGATATTTGGCAAAAGCATGTCATACTGTAGCTCATATGTCATGTATTCTTGTAGAAAACAGACAAAATTCTGAACTGCAATCATTAAAAATCACTATAAAAGAATTTATTCAGTGTCCAGCAAAGTTTATATATCATAGCGTGACTCAATTAAAGCGAGTTTTCTTTCGAGTATCACTTTTATAATTTTCCAAAGCGCGATCAATGATAAATACACCGCAGTAGAAATATACAGGATGTATCATTGTTCGATATTTCCTGCAAAAATGAATTTCTTCGCCCTGCTAAGATTTGAACATATATTTTACATGAGTAGCCTTGTAGTATTTACCTATAGTCCTGCTCACTGTGTCAAATTAGTCTTAAGAACACACGAATCAAATAATTACACCATTTTATTCGATATTTTTGCTTAGAGTGTAAGTATCCATTTTCCTTTATAGCGTCACTACCGTTAGTGTTGGTACAATATTATTAGACAATTAAAATTTTGACAGTATAGATTTATTACTATTCTGCTGTGAAATAAATTTAATTTCCTTTTCTTATTCATACATCGACGCACATAACCATGAAAGAAGTGTATCGTCTATTGTTATACACATCATTTTATTAAGGTGTAAAATAGCTGGGAAAATATTTAAATGATACGAAGCGACAAAAATATTAATCTTGTTCTCTTATGAAATATAATTTCTCCCTATCATAAAATTTAGGTGTTAAATTGATTTCTTTTATAATTGATAAAATCGAAAAAAATCCGATCAAGTAATAGTATTTAGAATTTGCATAGACGCATACCGTAAATCGAGAGAAAGAGAAAATTCATATCCAAAATAAAGTGATATACTTGTTAAGTTACAACTTTGTTGTAGAGAACAAAAAAAGATTAACAATGAACCAGTATTATGAGCAGATAGTTTCAAATTGAGAACTATGGACGTTGTTTATAATTTAATTATATATATATAAACATTTACTTTTATTAGAATATGCGTAAAATAGTTCTATGATTACATCAAATTTTAAATAAGATGTCACTGTCATGAATTTAAGGTGAAATATATATTATTTGCATCAATTACACCTATAAATAATAACCAATGACTCATACAGGACAACGATATAAGTATTTGTTTTTGTCACTATATTTTACGTTCTAGCTGCAATACAAATGAAAAGAAGTATTGTCAATATTTCTTCTACTATAGACAACTTACGAGAGAATATACTCATACGTCCACCTCATTTCGATCTCAAATTCTGACGGTAATTTGATCACAAATAGCAACGTAAATTCTGACAAGGATTCGTTTGATCAGATATTACACTATTAAGATATCAAATTTCTTGCATCGAATTGTGACCCAAGCCAAAAGCTGTCATTAATCAATACTTTCTAGAGAAGCTCAGAATCTAGCTTTTATCCCAATGTGAATGAAATTTTAGATCAAATCTCATTATTTCATAAATAAATATCTAAAGGAACGAGTCTTTTTCTAGTGTAACTTACATCATCAAAAGCTGCAGTCAAAACAACAAGCGTATATTTAGGTGTTCTCTCATTAATAAATACTTATAAGTGATTGCGACAATTGTGAAGTTGAAAGTGTATTATTTTGATAAACTATGAAAAGAAACACTTGTCTATTTAAGGGTAAACTGAAAAGCCTTTAAAAGAATATCAATTTAACTTTTGGCTGAGAATTTAAACTAGTTCTATTGGCTTAAAATTGATATATTAAAAAGCTCCTTGTTTTTTATTCATAACAAAATTTATTTAGCATATACAGGTTTCATCTTTCGTCTATTGTTGTAAAAGTATTCTTTTTTTCTTGTTAGCTACTTACTCATATCAATATATATATCAAAGAAAATATTGACAAATAGAAATACAGAAAGAAAGAAAGGCTATAGCAAATTTTAATTATATCGTGTTATATTTAGCAAATTCTCATTTTACGCTTCTTACTAAAAACGTTTCAGCGATAGCAAAGTACACCTATCAAATTATTAAGATGGATGAAGAATAATGGACCAAAGAGGCTGACCGCTCGACACACTTCGAATGAACGCGCGATGTGATTGCTACCACTTACTATCATTGGTTTTGTGTGAAAATTTTTTATCACTAACGTCATCTATAAATCTATCTTTTCTATCTGGTTCGTGTCTGTCGTAGTCAGTTGCTAGGCAATGACGCTGCCCTATACGACATATATTGTTCTCCGTCCGATGCTCGTTCTCTTTGTTCGAATGACTAATCACGATGTTCGCCTTTTTCTGTATGTGTCTAGCACTTTTGACTCGCTGTTACTGCCGATATAAGAGCGTCCGAGAGAGAAAGAGAAAGCATAAAGAGAAACAAATAAATACTTTTAGTCTATCTTTATGCTCACATACACGTATCCTTATCCTAAGCCTGATGTATTCTGGGAACGGGCAAATCGATGTCGATTTTGCTCACTTGTGTTTCGCCGGTTCTTTCTCAACATAAGACAGCAATATATAATAATAATTTTTGATTCTTTTATTTTAGATCTATCTTTTCTAACAAGTAGCTTTTCAGCAAGCCAAATCTAATTAACAATAATGTCGAACAAAGATGAAGAAGTACAACGCGCTAAATTAGCCGAACAAGCTGAACGGTATGAAACATAACATATGTTATTTTAATTTTTTTTTATCCATTGGCGATTTTTGTTTTTACAGTTATGATGATATGGCAAGTGCCATGAAAAAGGTTACTGAATCGAATAATGAATTAACCAATGAAGAACGTAATTTACTTTCGGTTGCCTATAAAAATGTTGTTGGTGCACGTCGTTCATCATGGCGTGTAATTTCAAGTATTGAACAAAAAACAGAAGGTTCAGAACGTAAACAACACATGGCAAAAGAATATCGTGAAAAAATCGAAAAGGAATTAAAAGATATTTGTCAAGAAGTTTTGGTAAAATTAAATTCAAACTAATTCTTTCGAAATATCTATAGAGATTTTATTTGTAGACTTTACTCGATAAATTTCTTATTCCAAAAGCAACAACAGCTGAATCGAAAGTTTTCTATTTGAAAATGAAAGGCGATTATTATCGTTATTTAGCTGAAGTTGCTACAGGCGATGAACGACAAAGTAAATCATAGACGAAAATCGAAAACAGAAGTTTTCATTGATGAATATTTTTTCAGAAGTCATCGATGAATCACAACGTGCTTATAATGATGCATTTGATATCGCTAAAGGTCAAATGCAGCCAACACATCCAATTCGTCTTGGTCTTGCTTTGAACTTTTCCGTTTTCTACTATGAAATTCTTAATGCACCTGATCGTGCTTGTCATTTAGCTAAACAAGTAAGAAACATTCTTTCATTTCGTTTTTTACTTTATTTTTTTTTGTAATATTTAATAGGCTTTTGATGATGCCATTGCTGAACTTGATACACTCAATGAAGATTCATACAAGGATAGTACACTTATCATGCAATTACTTCGAGACAATCTCACATTATGGACCAGCGATGCTCCTGATGCCGATGAACCAAATGCACCTGAAGAACATCAATAATTGTTTCGTGTATCTCTTCCCTTCTTTTGTCTGTATACAACACACACGCATACAACCGGTCACCAACCAAATTGACAAAACAATAGAAAAAAAAACAACAAACTTCTCTTTCTTTCTCTCTTGACTCTTCTATCTACTGCGCTTCTTTATATTTTTATTTGTTCGTCGATGTCAACTTCTTTCTTTCTCTTTCTTTATGTCTCTTTCTCTCTCTCTCTCTCTCTCTCTCACTGTGTGTGTTGGTTGTGATCGCTTTTTTGTCTCATTAGCTGTTTGTTCATTTTCTTCTTCAACTGTTCGTCTCATTTCTTTTGTTTATCCATGTGTTGTCGGCATTGTATGTCTTGTGTAGAAAACGAAGAAAAAAACTTGCATACATTTTTAAAAAAAAAGTTGGAAAAACAAACCATATGCACACACAATAAACTTTTTTTTCTTAAAAACAAATATTCTTTTCATATTTTCAAGAGTTATTAACATAAAAGTCATAGAAAACACAAAAGCTATATTAGCTGTTTTACCCATTGTTCATCGAACCATCATTAGCAGCATCATCTTCGGCTTGGCATTATTTGAAGGGCATTCTGTGCAAAAGTACTTATCCTTCGGATAATATATCTTTTTATGTAAATAATGTTTATTTCAAATGTTTTTATTGATAAGAAATCAAATAAAAAGCCTCATCATGTCGTCTACGACTCAATCTCGTATCATATAAAAAAAAAACAATGACAAGTTTATTCTAGCAAAAAGAAAAACCAATAACAATTTTCTTAGTTTTTTTATTTTATTTTCGTAATCACGAACGCAAAAATCATGCTAGAGAAGTTGTTTGTCGATCAACTATAATCGGTTTTCTCCAATTTCGATAGCTAAAAATATCATCAATTTATTTTGTTTAACATTTTTCAATAGAGAACATTCCTACTTACAAATGTTCATTTGCATTACGCATATGTACTGGTATCGAATAGGGTGTTTGTTTCATTGCTGAAACAAAATGATTTCTATGAATAGTAATCGTTTTTTCCGATTCATTTTCATCAAATGCAGTCAATTGTGCATTGTAAATAAGTGCTTTTATATCAGCACCTGTATACATTTCACAATGTGATAAAATTGTCTCATCATCAAATTTAACATCATCGGATAAGTGTATTTTTTTTGTCCAAATTTTTAATATTGATATTATATCGGACTTTGTAGGAAAACCTATATATAGATGTTTATCTAAACGACCTGGACGTAATAGAGCTGGATCGATTAAATCTGGACGTGATGTTGCAGCGATAACAACAATATCTAAGAAATTTTGTTTGTAAAGTTGAAATCAAAGTATGAAAATTTAGTACCTCCGAGACTTTCAACACCATCTAATTCTGTTAAGAGTTGATTAACAACTCGATCAGTAACACCAGCCGAATCTCGGCCACGTCTAACAATAGATAAAACTGTTTTCCTCATTGGCAATTGTTTACGAACACGTTACCGTGGTACAAGTGCTTCGAATTCATCAAATAGAATAATACAAGGTGTGACCGATCGTGCTCGATTAAATAAATCTCGTATATTCTGTTCACTTGAACCAACATATTTATTTAATAATTCAGGACCCTAGATGAACAAAATTTATTTTCTTTCAATTACTGAGAGAAAACGAATATTTACTTTGACTTGTAAAAAGTTCACTTTACATTCATTGGCTAATGTTTGAGCAATAAGTGTCTTACCACACCCAGACGGTCCATAGAGAAGAACACCAGATATTAATCGAATAGGTGCATTGGAAAAATAATTCGAGCGCTAAATTATTAGTATTTTATTAAACTAATTATGATCGAAATTGTTTTACAACACAAAGCGACAGTTTTTTCGAACAAAGTCAATAGAAAACGTAAAACATTGGATATCTGATTTCAAATCAATTAAAGGATCCTAAATCAAAAGCTCTTTAAAGTGATTTTCGACAAAAATTGAGGATTCTAATTTGAGCTCATTATTTCGAATTTTCTTTCAGTTCTCGAAATTTTGCCTTTTTGTGTACTCGAAAAGTGAGTACACTCTAGAATCGGTCAGTGTGTCCGGCCGGCCGTCCGGCCGTAGGCACGATAACTTGCGAAAGGAGAGTCAGACCGTGATGAAATTTTCCACACAGTTCAATCTCATGAATATCTCGGTCGAGTTCGAAGATGAGAAGAATCCGTCAAGAAATGGTTGAGTTATCGAAAAAATTGNGCGAAAGGAGAGTCAGACCGTGATGAAATTTTCCACACAGTTCAATCTCATGAATATCTCGGTCGAGTTCGAAGATGAGAAGAATCCCTCAAGAAATGGTTGAGTTATCGAAAAAATTGTCATTTTTGGCCAGGCCATCCCTGAGGAGGAGTACAGGGAATTTTTTTCAAAAAATAAATCTTTCTCAGAATTATTCATAACATATATAAATCGACTCAGTTTTTAACGCTGATTCCGAATCTGATATTAGTTTTGAGCTAAACCGTAGCTTTCTGATGAAACATCGCCTGAAAAACGTCTCAAAATGCACAAAAACTGTATCCAGAAATCAAATTGCCTAGTTTCTCATGATAATTTTGGTGTTCAGACATTCTAGAATGACTCATACATTCCATGCACTTTTTGCAATACACATAACTTTCGGATGAAATCCGAAGTTTCCACATTTATTTCTTACTTGAAAACGCCATTGAACTGTTTGAATAAGTTCTTGTTTGATGTCTTCCATTCCACCTATATCAGTCCAATGAAATGCACTTCGATTCGTTTTTTTGGTGTCATCATCAAGTATTTTAACATTGATGGGTTTAAATTCGTCAAATGCGTAATCGAAATCAATATTTTCTAATTGTCGATCGTCTAAAAAATTAACTTTAATAGCATATTTATTATTCTACGAATTTTTACATTGGCTTTACACAGTCACAATTAGTTGAATATATTTTAATAAAATATTAGTTTCTCTAGGTCGAATGCATGCCATGAATAGCATGTAATTCATTTTTCTCAGGTGCTGTCAAACTACCTATAAAAAGTAGTTTTATCGTGTTTCTTATTTTGTTCCCTCGCGGATCGTACTAACTGCTTTCGTTAGCATGAAAAGAATTTTGACAAGAAGCTTTTTTTTCTTCTTGTAACTATTATTTGGTAATACCTTGAGGTTTTCTCTATGTTCGAATAGAGCATAATCAAATGATGCAATATCTGATTTAAAAATATGTTAGCAAGAAGATTTTAATTGGTTGCCAACGATTATTATAATATTTGAGTAGAAACTGAAATAAAATCTAGTCTTACCGTCTTTAAGTGCGTTAACTATAGAATATTAATGATACGCAATGCAGATTTTTGCCCTATGAAATGTTTTTCATGGCATTTCGATTAGAAAAATAAGTCAGTTTTTACTGGTTTGTTAATCTTCAGAGAAACAAAATCTATTGACAGCTATTTACGAGTACTTCTATTTTTGAATATCTAGTTATATTTAGTATTCAAAGCTTCACATAGGTATCAATGGTTTGTAATTACACTTTCAGTCTCTCATGCAATGCATAGATGCAATTGTGTTATCTCTATGAGGAATGTTTACTCTTGCGATTACATGATTCATATTATAGTTATAAATAAATGTACTCACTATTCTAATAGATTAAAGTCCATGGCCTTCGATCATGGCATTTAACCTTGTATCTTCAAAATAGTCTGCTATTTTAAATTAATTTTCATTTTAATGTTTAGACAAGAAACAGAAGATAGTTTTTAAAGTTTTCACAAGTCAGAATGAAACAGATTATATTGTCTATTGACAATTCCAATCAAATTCAACCTAAACTGTCATAATCTATGCTGAACTAATAATTTTGATCTAAATATGATAGAATTATTTCTAATACTTGTATTCCCAAAAGGCCAGAAAACATAGGATCAGATTTCTTAGTGCTAAACTCAAACAAGTATAAATCGCCTGATCATTCAAAAAAAGCACATACGAGATGAGAAATTTCTCTGCAGCAGATTTTTTCCGAATAACAAAACAAACCGTTAATTGTACCTCAGATTGGTCTATCGCGCTGTAATTTGGTTAACAAATAGAGTGCGTTCTCTTGTTTATTTAATATGCATTAAGAGAAAAAAGTTCTGACAGCATTCATCATGCAAATTTAGAAATGAATATTTTAACTAACGCATTCTGTAACTTCTCTGTGAAACTCTCCCAATGTAAGGAATTCAAAACAAAACTCAACACTTGATCGATCCATACGATGCTAACTTAGGTATACAAAAAACGTCGACTTTTACATAAGGGTATTAGATGAAGAATATTCTACTATTTCTCCAAAGGAAACATTTATTTATTCATTTTTAAAATATGTCTTACCGAAACTCATCCATGAATGTAATAAAGCATTATCAATCAATGTAAATAAATCTTTAACAACAAATGATTCGGTTCGATTAACAATATACTGTAAAAGTGTTTCGGATATTGTTTGCCTTTTATTTTCAATCACTTGTTTAATAATCGCTGTTCTTTGAACCTAGTAGTAGAATGAAAAGCAATCAGCATTTTTACTTGTAATTATTTTTTTAATTTTAATTTTACTGCGTTCAATGGTTCGATAGTTAAGATTTGTGAACAGAACAATGGTGTTTCTTCAGTAAATTGTCGATGAATACTTGTTATTTGTTTAACAATAGGAATAATAATAAATTGTTTATGGATTTGTTGTGCACGATTAAATAATTCGCGTACAGCTGTATAGATATATGAAATTAAACGTATAAAACCGAAATAAAAATATGGTGAACTCACATAGTGATAGTTTTTGAGTAGCTAAAATAATGTTTGCATCTGTAATTGTTGTTTCATTGGGGAACAGATCATCAAAATGATCAAGAATTAATATTGATGGTTGACGAAATACTACTTCATCGATTATTTGTGAAATTGAAATTACAACATTATCAAGTTTTCTTCCTAATTGAAAATAAAATGAAGAAATATCTACATCATTAAGTTCAGTTTTTCTATTTCTAACCTTTAAAACTGAGACAATCAACAAATTTATAATAGACTAAATGCTTATTCCATAATCGTTGGCAACATTCTCCAACAACTGTTTTCTTTCCACTACCGCTTCGACCTGTAATTATCACATTTTTAAATAAATAATCATTCCATGACGATGTCTTTATATTAATTTGTAATTGCAATTCAAGAATTCGTAATAGACGATCGATATAATTACTTAATGCTCTACAACGATAGAAGATTACAATATGCAGTAAAATATTCTCAGAGGGAAAGAATTTCAAGTTTTAACTAACTATATGACTGCCTTTCTCTTAAGACTCTTCCTATTCGAACAGCCATAATTTTCTTCTATTGCCATGCAATCCACTTTTGCATATTTAGTCATGAGACTAATTGTAGTCACTATGAGATCTACGCACAGATGAAAGTTTAGCTGGAAAATTAATCATACAAATTCTCAATAGTCTTATACTCATAGGATGAAAAACCAACAAAATCACATTGAATCAGATTACTCATCATGACTTATTCGATATCATTAGTCTCAAGTGAATTGAGGATGTTTTCTCATCGGATTTTCAAGAGAACTGCCCCAGAAGAGGTTTACTATCTGTAAAAAACTAATTACATGAGTTTGTGAATTCAATTTTGAAATCTCATTTCGATAGTTTTTTAACAAATGTCATGTTGATAGGAACAACTGTTTCAAAAAAACAAGGGAAAACGGCGGATTTTTAGGGATTTTAAATCCGAAAAATCCCAAAATTGAGAAACATTTTCGCCTCTTAATGACGTAGTTTCGACCTGAAATTCTTCTCATATATAGGTTTCATGGTCCATAAAAGATCCAAAAAGTTTCGACTCGAACAAATGTTTTCTTCTTAAAAAATTGAATTTTCTGACTGTGCCGTGATATGAGCATTGCTTGCGCATTCATTATCCTGAGAAGGAAACATCCGTTTGCGCTGAAAATATTAGAATATTCTAAGGACCATGAGACCTACATATGGAAAAAAATTCAGATGGAAATTCCATCATTCGCAGTTTGGATTTTGAAAATCTTAAAAGTCCCGAATCCTCCTTTTCCCCTTGCAAAAGAACACTCACAATGATTGTTCTTGTAGAATAAGAAAATTTTCTATAATAGGCGTTGAACGAAATGTTTCAATTTCGTTAAAATTCCATTCTTTTTGCTCGTCAACAGCTATTGCATGTTGTCCAATTGTCTCTTCGTTAATTGCGACATACATAGGACCATCATTTATTATTGGCTCATCTTCACTACTCAAATGAATATTGTAATAAACTAGAAAAACATAAAAATCCATTAAAGTGAATTCCCTTGAAAAGCAATAACAAACCATCCTCAAGTTTAATGATGCATCCATCCGTAATTAATATCGGTTGATCATTAGTTAAAGATTTTCGAATCCAATTATGAAAATGATGTTGAAGTAGAAGTGTCGGTCCATTCCATAGATTTGAAATAAATTCAATTTTTGTCCGATTTCTTGGTCGTCGTGTTGTATTACAAGCAATTATTTTATCAGTTGAACGAATACAATTCATAGACGCAAATAAATGATTTAATTTTATATGCTTTTGACGGCAAACATTATCGTTCGCTAATTGAATTAACAGAAAATATGTTTTTGATATATGCTCAGGTAATGAAGCTGCTGTTGGTTCTAATGGTAATGATTTAATCTAAATCAATTTAAATTAAGAAGAATTCCAGAGATTTTTCTTACCTCTTTACTCGATCGATAGACAGTTACTTTAGCAACAAATACGTTTGGCCAACCAGTACCATCATCATCGTCCGATGACCAATCCGAACGATTAATACGAGCTATAGTAGGATTTATTAATGTTGTTTCATCGAGTTCAACTCGATAGATTCGTCGATGACGGCCAGGCACTAAAGCAAGTTTCGATTTCGATTGTAAATCAATAGTTTTCTTTTCGGTTTCATTAAAAATTTTCATCGGTGAATTCGGTAACGATGAATAAACCAATGTTCCAATCGATCGAACAAAACTCTTCAATGATAGAGATTGCTTTATTTCAAGATTTGACGGAAGAGATGAATCTGACTCAGGTTGAATTGCTGTTGACTGTTCTCGAAATTCAGGCACAACTGTTACACGAGTCGATGCACTGATCACAGAAAAAGAAATATTATCACTGGGTTCAATTTGCACTAAAACAATAGAGATATAGAAAATAAAATGTTAAAATAAAACCGCGGACAAACATACCAACTCGAAGAAGAATACATAAACCGGATATCCATATCGGAAACATCACATGTAATGAAAGAATTCGTATTTGATTAAGAAAGACGTCTTCGGTTATTTCAGTATTATTTTGCTAAAAAGTAAAAATAAAATATTATTCTGTGAGATCTGATTTTCAAGCCCAACATTCTCTACCGCATCGGTGATATACGTACAGAAAAGGGTTAAAATTCAATCCACGATATCAAAAATATGATTTCTATAGGTTTTCGTAGTAAAAGGGATAATATCGATGAATGCTATATCTTTTATTACATTCACACCGATTGTACAAAGCTTTGACAATATCAAGAAAAACTTTTGGCATCAAAAAGATATTTTCCATGTATTTATAGCAAGTACTTCATTTGAATTCTTTACGAAAAATTCTTCAAGAATGAATAAGATCATCATTTAACTCACCAAAATTTCCCAATCATCAACAGATACTGGACAAAATGTTACACTTCGACATTCGACTGACTCATTCAATTCATCCATTTCATACTTTAAAACAAAACATTCATAAAATAAATAACCCAATGATCGACAAAATTAACTCACAAATTGATCCGTTTGAACATCGATTTTCATTGCGAAAAATCCATTCAATGAAAATTGTCCTTCATTTAATGTATAATCCGCGATTGTTGAAAAATAGAGATACCGATCATTTCCCAAATTTAATCGTACTGTCGAAACCTACATATACATACGTACAAATACATTTCTTTTCGTAGTAATCTTGATTTTACTTTGAAATCCAAGGCATGTCGAGCATTATTATTGAATGTACGTGGATTAATGCCAAGAAAACAGTTTCGATTTTTTGAATGAACACATCGTAGAATATGCGACGGCATACCTGCATAAGATTAAGAAATATCTACTCTTTTTAAACGATCAAAAGACTATTCCTTAAACCGCTATAAAAACAACAAAATAGAAATTAATCTGTAATGTCATTTGAAAAACCCAAGTCATCAATCCTCATATTTAGTGTAGTGTCTCTATCAATTGTAAGCTTTAAAATTTCCCTAAATAGTGTACTTTTTATTATTTGAACACCGGTAAGAAGAGAAACTACCACGCATATTAAAAATTTTGTTCTCGAAAATGAAACTAAAGTGACGCAAGAATTCATATTCTTAACTCGGACTTATCAGTATGATAGTGAATCAATTGATTACAGTACAGTTATATTAATAAGTATATCTTTAACTTCAAAATTTTCGTTTTCTTTTCGGTAGAGCAATCTAAGGACTAAATGATTGGATTTGTTCTTCTCTCCAGTACAGATCATTTTCAGGGGTGTTTGTGAGGGCGCTAGTTCTCAATAGACGATAAAAGATTTCACACCTTTTCATCCGTTACAAAATCTTTTGTGTCTTAATAAACATATTAAAGATGCTTGTATATTTAGTATCAGATTTTATTGAAAAAAAAATTATATTAAGGGTAATCAATTCAATATCTTTGTATTGAATTTAGTTCCGGACTATGTGGATACGACGAGAACAAAACAAAAATAGCGGGTCTCTCTCATGATTATTCCAATTAATAAGCTGCACTGGTGCTCGAGGTACTAATTTATAGATAGTTTTGCTGCAGAGGCTTCAACTTATCGATAATACAATAGCTTGGATTGCACATATGTTTACTGAAATTTTGAATAAAAAATCTCGGTTTGGTTCTTGGTGAACAAGTTCAAGTATCAGAAGGTTCAATGGAAAATTATTCTTTTCTATCATTTTTACTCTCAGTATTAAATATCTTGACCATAGAAGTATTTATAAACCTGCATTTCTTATAGTTTGAGATCGAACTGCTGCATTATTCCGACTATGTATTAGTACGTTCAATGAGTCTTTCCTACAGATTTTGACCAGGACTTTCGCACAAACGGGTCAAATCTAACTATCAACTTCTCTTCATGCAAATCAATAATCAAGACATTTTTCTCACCCTCTTATATAGGAAGTCGAACCTTCTTGCTTATTCTCTGCTACTTAAAGTCTTGAAATCGGTCAATCTTCCGTTGGTCAATCTGAACTCGTATCCATAGTGACATTTATAGGATATCTAAAACACCTACTTCCTAAATTATCTTTTATTTACATTTTCCCTCGATGATATATCGATGCGTCAAATCTGCATTTATACGAACAAACTTTCGGTGTACTGTTCAAAATGAGAGAATTTTTCTTTTCCCCTGATTCATAAATAAATACCATTTTAGGTATAATTTATCGAATTGCCTTATGGATAGAAAGGAACAGTTAAAAGTATCACACCATCTTAGCGGTAGAATAAATTTCTAATAGCGGTTTGCCTCGAGAAATGAGGCGACTCTCATCTTCGCGAATCATTCATGTATTAGATTTTAAGAATAGTTTCTTATCACTATTTTCTGATCGAGATAATACAAAGAAACATATTGCAACATATTAGACGGCTCATCTGAAAGACTCGCACTTGTACGAAGTTGCCTCATATGTGTTACTGCTATGGCTCTGATATGAACTATCTGATTCTCTCAGATTATTCCAATCCTGTTCGTATTGAATCTTGCTTGGAATATAATTAGATGGGTGTCATTTTATTTTTTTACAGAAATCCAGTTCAGATGTTAGAAATCAAACGGAGAAAATAGACATTTCGTCTCATTTTATTATTTACGTTATAATACAAGAAGGATTTCAGAAAAGCTATTGCCGCACAAAATAATCTAAAGTATATCCAACCAATTTTTATTGTAAAACTTAAATTTTAGTAACCAACCATACTAAAATTTATTAGTAGAAAACTTGTCACATTAAAAAATATATTTAATTATAAATTTTTTCTCGGAATGGAAGTTAATATTCTATTTTTTTATTACTGTCATGTAATTGACATAAGAAATTCATGATCAATATAATCATAAACGAAAATAATGAACTGATATATCTTTCTGAAAATAGCAAATATTTCGTAATAAAGATTCTGTTGTGACCACCGAATTTATTGAATGTTTAATAAATCTCATCGAACATCTCATACGAAACAGTGTGATAGCGTATATTTTTATCGATATACTAAACTGAGTGTTTGGAGATAAAAATAATAAAAGTAGCAAATACGACTTTTATACCTCATCGGTTTAATACTATCAGCAGGTTTTGTTCTCAAAATTTCAGTAGATTGATCATTGACTTATCTATGCTTGTAAAAAGTAGAATTAGCTATCCTTTTATAATAGTAATATGACGTATAAACACCTAAACGATGGCAGCATCTGATTTCTCAAGCAGTCTTGACTCTCTTATAAGATTCGAATAGTTTGTCATAGATATCAAATTCAACGTGAATTCTTCAATAGATCAATCATCCTTATAGAAAAGTCTCCGAAGGTTGAATCTATGCTTACAAAAATACGATAATGCACCAGAACATAGCAATATATTATTAGTAATTTCTATTTCTATAGCGTCTGCAAGAATTTAAGGTTGTTCGCTCAGCTAAATGTCTGCCATTTCAAAAGAACTTCAAATTTTCGGAAAATTAAAGAATGACCGCTTAAAAGCCGTCAAGCAAGAATTGAAACGACGCTAAAAGTGTGCAGTGATCAATAACATGTTTCAGCTGTCTTATCAATGAAAATCTCACAAACCCTATCAGTTATCATTACAAGAATAATAATTGTTATTGAACATTTGAATTAAGAAAAATTTGTTCAAAACAACCCTTGATTATGCATTTAACAATTAAAAATCCATACTGAAATTCAATCGACCATTATTTCTTGTAACTGTTAAAATAAATCGACCCAATTAGAATTTATTTCATACAAAGAATTTATTCAAATCTGTCAGCACTTTATACATTTGGTATCAATTGACACAGATTGATTCATTGACGTTACTAGAACCATACGTTTTTTTATTGTTTTGTTCCTCATCGATTATTCTATTCATGTTGATATTCACTGTAAAATAAAACATGAACATCTTAACAAATATTTATTAGATACGTATACATCTCTTGAAGATTGAATATCTTATTCATATATATTCGTAAACTCCAATGATTTAGATAAGACAGATTTTGCATCTCTTGATATTACTGCATTGCACTCGTCATCGCCATGAGAAATCCATCACTCTCGTCATCATCCCAGTACGAGCACATTTGTTTCGTCTCTTTTCTATTCCTCTCGTCTTTATGACTGCTACTTGCTTGCCCGAGAAGCAATTTGCTGTAAAAGGCAACAGCAATGATAGAATCAATAGACGTAGAGAATGTGTGCATCCGTCTGCTAGCATACAACCATCCAATGCACAACGTTGAATCTATCAATCGGCCTGCGTGCTAGCAGCTGTATGTGCGTAGAAGGAGGAGGAAAAAGCAAAGCACACACACACACAACGGCACATTAGCATACGTCCGTCGACGGGAATAAGCAAGCGAAGAAAAGGAAGAACTATCGACAGCATTATAATAACGGCTGCCCTATGCTTTGTATGCGGAGAAAAATGCCGGCGTTCGTAGAGAGGAAGAGAAAGGCAGAGAGGGAAAGAGAGAAAATAAGATAGAGAAAGAGCACAAGCAACATAAAAACGCTTGCTTCACTCGTTGCAGAGCACACATACATATACTCGTTTACGTTTTTACATTGAAACTAGCGCCTCGCTAAACAGTTTCATTCGACTTCTATCGCCCTCTTTTTACCCGCCAAAGCAAAAAGTAAGCACATAGATTTTCTCTCTGCAGTCAACACTTTCATTTATTCAATTAGAATAATTAATAATGCCACGCGCATCAAAACAAAAAGATCCTAACGCACCCAAACGTCCATTATCAGCATTTTTTATTTTTTCACAAGATGAAAGACCAAAAATAAAATTACAAAATGCTACATTATCGGTTGCTGATGTTGCTAAAGTTATTGGAGAAAAATGGCGTGCTGCACCTGATGATTTAAAACGTAAATATGAAAAAGCAGCTAAAGAAGCTAAAGAACGTTATGAAATTGAATTACAAGCTTACAAAAAAACTGGTATGAAAATTTGACATATATGCATTGATTGACTTGTGAATATTTTTTTTCTTCTCTTCTAGCTGAATATAGTCAAGCGAAAGCTCGAGCTTAAATATCAATCGAGAATGAACATTCATTTCAATCTACAAATTGTTCTCGTCTTGTTTGTTTCTTCTTTTCATTGTGTAGTATTATTGTTGTTGTGTGTGCGTCATTTTTGACCGTATTTGTACAGAGAAATAAACATGTTTACTGGGTATTGATATTATATGCATGCTTTTTTGTTGTTGTTGTTATAAGATCTATAGATACGTGTTTGTCTATTTTTGCTTTATCTCTAACAAAATAAAATGTTCCTATCTTATAGATAGATTGAAAATGAATAATGTTCGAAAATTATATCTCAAAGTACTATATCGATGTATGTTTATTTGATGAGTGCGTCGAGCAAAGCGTCATTTTTAGTATTCTTTGTTCAATGTGCAATTGTTCCATGCAGAACATTATTTATCTTAGAGTTTTTCAAATAGAAGCATGTCATTGTTACTTTCTCAGAAATTGATCGTTTAAATATTTTGTTCAAGGATCTGTCTATAGAAGTTTTCAACAATTAAATTTCTCGATGAACGATTATCTTATCACATAGACTAACTGTAATGAACCAACTGAGATGTTCTTTTTTTTTTTGCTAGAATAATTTAAAACTATATTGCTTTAGCTGGCGCTTAGAGAAAATCGGCGTTAACGATTCTCTTTTCTTTGTAATAGAATACGTCGAAGGAGAGAAGGAGATTAATCGAGAATTAATGATCATTAATAGTGAGGTGTACTTTAAGATTTTCA